CAAACGTAGGGATTGAAGAAGGTCCAGATTGATCAGAGAACCCTGGTGCCTGCGGCCTTTAGTTTTGCGTTTAAAGTAATCGAAATGAGACTGCGTTCGACGCTCTGATTGGTTGGTTCATGGGTACCGGCCAATCAGAGCGTACTCGTTTACGTACGTCTTACTAAGGCCGCTGCCTGGAATTTTGCGGGCAGCGGGGCGGAGCGACGGCGGCAGGATCTTATGTGTAAATTTAAATGGATCGGTTCTCGAAAACACAGCGGCGGGCAACGAGCGGTGCGCTCCAGTCAAGCGATGCCCGCCGCGCCGCCCCGCTGCTCGCAAAATTCGAGGCCGCGTCCTAAGGGTCTGGTTTCTAGCAAATATATGATCTCTTAGTTCACTCTTATGACACCCATGGGATGAATAATGGTGTTGAAAGTATTCTACTCAAGTGCTGCATAGTGGTACACTTCATCTAGACATTTAAATAGATCTAAGTTCTATGATTGGTTTAGTTATCAGTTTGTTACTTCGTGTTACATGACGCCTATACGACTGTACCAAAGAAAGTGTTTGTTACTTATGTGATTGTTTTTTAAATTATTATATAATATATACTATATCTATAATAAATTAATATATGGAAACAATTTTTAATAGATTGTTTAGCTGCTGGTAAATGCAACCTTATTGTTGATGTAATAAGTTTAGAAATAGTTCGTAGCTATAAATTATACTCAATGCAAATGAATTATTTAACGATTCTTCTGTTTAAACGGGAAATTGTATGTTTTATAAATTATATACAGGGGGTCCTAGAAGTCGACGTCTAATCGACACCCAATTATAAGTTATCAGAAAAATATAACTAAATTCTAAGCGCGTGTTAACCATCCTCACATGAGTGCCCGAGAAACTTATGTAGCAGATAGTTCAGACAAATTACGTTTTATATTCAAATGAATCGAGCCATAACTCTTTAGTAATTTTGCCGATCACGGAGTTTCAGTTAGACGTCGACGTCTGGGACATCTTGTATTTGTTGATTTAATAATTTATTCAATGATATTTTGCTTTACCAGCAGTTGAATACAACTCGCGTAAACTCTGCTAATGCTGTAGTGTGCTGTAAATAAGCATATATTCCATACTACATTCTAACGTTTTGGATTCCGACGCAATACTTCGTTACACACTAATATTGTACAAAATATATTATTTTTTAAATAAAAATCTGTGGTTTCTTTGTCACCCCTTAATTTAGATCATAGTTTCTTTTAACTGAACTTATTTTAATGAATTTTGTTAGTTACTGATATAAGTAGACATTTAGAAAAATGTACCTACTTTTTAAACTATGGAAGGTTTGACTGAGTAATAAAACAACAAGAATAAAATTTGATCCATATAATACACAATAAAATAATAATTATTGCAATAATATAATTAAAAACAAGTTAATCGTTGTTTATTAAATAGATTTATTTAAATATAGTCTCGCCTTAACTAACGCGGTTGCACGTAAGGTGGCGCGCGGACTAGAGGGCGCCAGCGTCGCTTGTTCAGTGACAAGTCCTTTTTACATGAGAAAAAGAAACCAGGACACAGATGATAGATAGATTACGAAAAAGAAATTGGAAACTAATAAATAGGTAAAGAAAGAAAGGAAAGGATATGTTAGAAACTTGTGAAAGTAATTATGTTAAGACTTGTCACTGATCACACGAGTGTTGGCGCCCAGCGTGGGACACGCGGTGCTAATCACAAATATTGCTTCAAATAGCATTTAAACGGATAGTTTCTGTAATCCCAAGCGATTGCTTTAAATATGTACCTAAAGTATTACATGACAAATTGATGCTCGTGTCCATGTACGATTATGGCTCATATTCACTATAAATAAAGTCCATATTAATAAAAACAAAGGTAAATTGTAAAAAACATTTGAACAAAAACTATCCAAGACTTCATGTTTGCTTATAGTACATTGCTGTACGAATCGATTCAGGCAACTGAACCGACTCTAATCGACAACACTAAGCATTTAAAAAGTCTACACGTCAAACTCGGTTGACTGAATCGACTAAATAAATCAACTATTCGACTAAAGTCAATATAGTCGAGTTACAACACTCGTACATTCTAAGCGAACAAAAAAAAATATATCCGATTTTAATCTATTCTATACATTTGGTCAAAATATTTAAAAAAACAAAATGTACAATTAACACCTAGAATTATATTTATACATAATAATAAAAATAATATATAAGCTGTAAACTCTACAAGACGCTCTATTTGTTACAAAACAAAAGTACAACTTAATTCGTTTGGTTGCGGCACTGGTTAGACACAGACAGATATTCAAATAAGAGTTAAAAAAACAAGATAAGATAAGAATACTAAAAAGAAGATTCATTTCAATATTTGTACTTACATCAGAATCTATGAAAAAAAGTCCAAAGTACTTTTATTAAACTTTCATCACCCATATCTAACCAGAGCGTTCGCAAATTCTAATTATTTATGATACAAAATAAAATAAATTGCTACAAATTGCATTATCTGTCTCTTAGGATAAAATATACATGATATTTACATTTATTATAGAAATCGTATCTATTACTATCTGATTGTCGAATAGGAATACAACCCCCCAATATATGGTGCTTTCATTTAGGCTGAGTACTATTGAGCTTGTAACAAGTTATAGAACTTAGCTTGCTAGATTAAGTAGTAATAAAATGGGGTGAATAGATACAGGAATGAGGTGAATAAATGTTAGAATATTTTCCCAACATCTATTCACCCCTTTTTTGTATCTATTCACCCCGTTTTACCGTCATTTAGTTTTAAACATCGAACATAACAAAACGAAACTCCGTGTTGGTACTGTGGAATTAATAACGCGAATATGTATAACAACAATGGACAATTATTCTCGATATCATCATATTTTACTGTATATTTGCTTGTGCAATAAGGCATGTAGATTTATTTCCTTGGGGCTGCTCCTCGGCGGACTCGAGTAGCCAGTTGCCGCGCTCATGAATATGAGTTTCTGGCATGACTTGAAGTCGAATTCCTCGTCAACCAGTTACGTCGGTACGCCGAAAAAATGATAATTAACTCATTAATTATTACACAGTTTAATATCAATTGTTTTGCTACAAAGCACAACAGTACTGAGCCTAGCAAACTCAATTCCATTCAATACGTAAAGTGTCATACATATTGTCAAAGCTACATTGCTCGGATTCGGTTACAATTATCAGGATTTACTTTATTAGTGCACATTATAAATCAATAGGCAAATGAACTATGACGTAGTAAACAAAATAATTTCATTAGATGGACATAAAATTAGGAAGTCTATCTTTTTATTATCGATTAGGTATAATTATATAAATCACATTCAGGGCCTGTTTCACAATATCTGGATAGCCGAACGTAATTTGTATGAACTATCTGTCATATAAGTTTATCAAGTACTTACATAGAGGTGGTGAAACCGGCGGTTAATATAATTTGTCCGAAATAACGAAAAAAATTCAGCATTAAGCAAGGTTGTACTTTGACCAATGCTAGCAAAAGCATTTAAATAATTTTTTAGTTTATCTCTGAAACGGGTTGGTATAATTTGCACCAATAAAGTAACCCGCATAGCCCGTCAACGTTATTTTAATTTAAACATACGTAGAATAATCTGTGGTTACAAACGTTTTGCAGCCAGTCACACATTTTTAACTTTACATCCGAAAATATTTAAGGGAAAGTTCTGTTTCATAATTCTTATAGACTTGCTCTTGTCTTTAAATAATTTGTTGGAGTCTGTAAGTAGATAGTGTGACAACCTTGCCTCCATCTGACTATGGTGACGTAACTTCATGGAACATGTAAAATAAACCTCAAGTATATACCTATTAGGTTGAAAGTTATAATAACACTATTTAATAAAACGCTGTACGATTAAACTACTCTATAGTTCAACATTGTATTACGAAAAACCAGCTTGATATTGACATTTCTAAACACCCAGTCGAACCACCATAGCCAGAGCACTTGCAACCACAGCATTAAGTAGTATATCCCAAAATATATCACTATGACGTCACAACTCCGTACTAAATGTCCCATTAATCTACTAAACGTGTTTTTGTTCCAAAATATTTATTTGAACGTGTACTATGAACATGCTACGTCTATTATCACGCGTTAAGCCGAACACCGCCGCTTACATACTGCGCGGCCATTTGACTATTTATAATAAAGGTGCAGTTTCATTCACGCGACTGGGATAAGACTTTTTTAATTTATTGCTCATTAAAAGACTGTTACAAAGTCCGAGGAGTAAATCACATACATAGAGGTAGTTTGTTTTATTAAACTCGCGGTTATCAATGGACTATTTTTATTGTTCTCAGTCTTAAATCAGGCACTTTAAATACATTTGGTTTGTAGGCTGACGCTACTGCAATTAAGTATATATGCTGTAATCGTTATGGACTACAATAATCCCTCTTAATGCTTCGAAATTAAGTCACATTTACTACAATGTGTTTCTATTAACATCCGAATACGATGTGTATAAATCGGATTGTAGAAAGACATAATTAAAGTCGATTATTTAAGTCGCGTGCAATGAAACCGTACCTTAAGCAGTAATAAAATACAAAGCCGTCGTGCCTTCCTCCTATATATTGACTATCAATAGTTATACAGTGTAGAACGTTGAACAACATTGGTTGCGGGAACATTAGGGCATCAGTCACTTACTTATTTCACTGCATTTATCAACAGAACTTAATACAAACCCCTATCATAAACTTAATCAACTTTGAACTCTATTGCTAAAAGACAGAGACCACATTAAATGCAAAACAAATACTTGCTGTGTTTATAAATGTATCTTACCCTGCAAGCAATAGAGTTCAAACTCAATTGGCATAAGTAATCAGAGCTTGTGAGCTTCATCTTCCTGTGTTGATAGCTTCCTTAGCTCTTATTGTTTCGCTTTTTCAAGCGCAACTGAGCGAGGTAGCGATGCAAGCAGCGCTGTAAGTGCTGGATGCCGCAGCGCGGGGCGCGGGCGGGGGGCTAGTCTGCAGGCCGCGGGGGCGGGGCGGGGGGGGCAGGGGGGACGCAGGCATACTCCAACTTTCGCTGTTACCCCATCTGTTATTGTAGAAAATAATAAATATCGAATGTGTTGTATCATAAGGTACAAATATGAATTTAAGAAAACTTAAGGTTCAAATTAATCTTGAGAATTTCTGGTAACAATTTATTATTATGTGTGGCAAGTCCATTTAATAAATATAACACAACATCTTAAAATTCAATTTATACACACAGGTTAATTAAAGTTAATAAAAATAAAACTTTTGAAGTGGAGACCTGTTCTGCAAATTATCGATCGAAAATAAATTGAAATCAACAATAAAGCCTTACAAGTAGGAATAAGCAAGAAGTTGCTCACCTGTGCTGCAGATGATGTGGATGGTGGTTGTCTCTGCGCGCTGCAAGGTGATGCCACTTGACGTACCCGCTGAGCCGGCGCTTCACCAGCCCCGCGAGCGAGTGCAGCCAGCCTGCGACCGACCACCGGGCTACTGGTGCTACCGCGACCGACAACGACACCACTACGACGCTCTGCCCGCTCCATATTCTATGTACCGACTCTTTGTACGCTCAAAGCTTAATATGGCACTGATAGTGTTATGTGCTTTCTTTGTGAATTTACTCCATCTTAGATATTAGCAAAATTCTAATATTTAAGCTAAATTTAATTTCTTTGCAGGTGAAAATAACTACGCCGTATTTGTCTATAGAAATTATTTTAGAAGAGTTTGTATGTAAATATATCAGTCCAGGACTTTATAGACCTCAAAATAAGGTTTTATTAACAGATTACTTAAAATCTAGACGTCATAGATAGTTTGTTCCGGGATTAGGAAAGTTATTAATTATGAAATTATTATTGTTTTAGATGATACATAAAATGTGTTGACCAATATAATTGGATTACTTCCTGCAAAGGTCTGGTTTCTATAAATTATCTGTGGCAAATAAAATGTTGCCAACATCTTCAACGGAGGTGTTGCACCAAAGAGTCGTTACGATATGCCTGCTAATGTTACTGACAGCGAAGCTACCATGATGAATGAGTGATCAGAACAGAGTCTCGCTCACACCTCGCCAATACAAGCTTCCTTATTTACTTATAAGTGGATAGTTTACGTATAAGCCCTGAGCAGTTCTAGATGAGACTATTGAACAATTTGCTTTCAAGTTTTAGAGTATTTTAAATCAATTAATTACAAACGAAGTCGGTATTCTTGAGATCAAATTACTATTAGAATGTCTAGATGTCTGAAGTTATATCAGGCATGATGAATAGCTAGTCTTAGGTAAGTAAAGTGAGGTCTAAACTTTTTAATGAACTTGCTCTGTAAGTACGATTATTCGTTGTATTAAGTTTCTACTAAGCATCCAGTGAATTCCTGTAAACCATCCACTTCCGAAATCTTCAAAAAAATTGCATAAAATATTTGAGCAACGCTTCCCAAAGCGATACGTACCGGCGCCGGTGGCAGTGTACAAATATAGCCCATATTAGCTAGGTGTTAGGGTCGTGTTTAGTGTAGCGAGGCATGTGACAGAGCTACTAATGGGCAGGCGATGTGTGGGGCGCGAAGGACAGCGGCAAAGCACAGACACATTCGTGGGAACTTTTCTAGAAGTGTTACCATGTAATAATAATTATATTTGGCAATTAAAGTGTTTGTATCATTGCTTCAATTAAAAACCACGAATAAAAACAAGATACTATTTTTTATATCTATTATTACTTTATGCTTTACTTTATAAATGTTTTTTTTTATCTGTAGTTGTTCAGAATTGAAGAAATAATATGTGGCCAAGTGCACTGTGCTGTGTTGTCGTGAACGCACCATAGATACCAGTATAAGCACTTAACTGAATCGTATTAAACCATGGTAAAACTTTGAATGTACAACTTACATTTAACATTTCAATAATGTAATATAACTTGATTTGTACTAAGTTGTACAGTCATAGAAGAGAAGTTCCATAAATGTGCTATAACATATGACATACAACAACATTTTGGTAAGATACATTTGGGAAACAAACAATTTTGAAAAGCTGCAAACTTGACATGTACTCAAATACTAAAAAGGTACATTTAAACTGTCAAACACCGCGAGGACACCGGTGACCTTACCTAAGAACTTATTGTTCTTTAATTGTGTCTATAATGACGGTACTCAAAGGGTTAATCATTTAGCAAAATGGACCATTTCAACCAATTTGTCCACAATTTCTATGGTCTTATAAATATAATTCTTATTATTACTGTATTGAGTGTACGTCAAGTTTGCCAAAACATACAATGAGTGGGTTAGGTAATAAATTAGATAGTAATATGCGTCTAAACTTGATTCTAAAACATCGAGTCTGTACTCATGTAAACATTTATTTAGCACATAAGAATTGACACAAAAATTTTGATATATCGAGCTTTTTAAATAGAAAACCAAATATTTAATACACGATTATCAAACAAAACACTAGATATATAATTCCTCGTGGAAGTAAGTAGAGGTCTTCGTATAGTTCATCTAATTTATGCTAGTTATGTTTATTGAAATCCAAAATAGATATATTTAATAAAATTTTGTAGTGATTCTATTTAAAAAACCTCGATAAGTGATATCCAAAAAGGTTTCTTTCGGCAACTAAGCCTCCTTGGCCGTTTCGTTCGGTTGTGCGAAAGCATATAACCGCAAAGCACAGAGGACGCGCCATAAGCATATTTCCCATAAATTCATGGTTTTCCTCCGCGATATTTACACAATGGAAGGGTAGAAACAGTCTGTATGAGAATGAGATGATTTGTGGAGTCATTGCAATGTAACGACGTCGACCAACTTTCTTTATGGTGGTTAATAATAATAATGGTGTCAACATCTTTTCTTTGTCATGAATTGTATTATTTATGACATGTATGTGACAATAAAAAGCAATTCGATATTGAACGTAAACAAGTCCATTTAGTGCAGTTATCAACTTGCAATAGCAATGTCATTAAGGGATTTCTTACTTTTTCTCTACATACAAAGTTGTCGTAACAACCGTCTCTCTTTATGTCTTTATAGGCAGAAATAATGCAACGTCAAATGACATGACTCTGGCATTATTTTGGTTGTAAATGAACTTTTCATAAGCTTGTAGTTCAACCAAAATGAAAGTAACAAAGCAAATGATAACCGATTTATCAGAAAAGTATTTATATTCCATAAGAGAAAGTAGTATGGTCAGTATTGCAATAAGTCCACGCGCCTGTACACGCGGTGCGTGCGGAGTGCGTGCGGTGGGGCGGCGCGCGCGCGCCTGACGCTGTAGTCGCAGGCTGGCTGCGCTCCTTCGTCACAACATTGTCACAGTCAATATTACGTATGTGTATAGTGTGCGAGCGACTCTTACACAAACTGAGCGCCGTACTAGTCAAAACCTCTTTAAACAGTATTTTTGTTCTATGACATTCTCGCGAGTTCATAGTTTAACGGCATTTTTATTTAATCAAAATCCTAAAGGCTTTTTAATATGCTATTTATATTTTAACAGAAGTTTAATTATAGTTTCTGTTAAGATAATCTTTTATGTACTTTCTATGTATATTGATAACGTATGTATTAAATTTCAATCGCTCGCATATTATACTACAACACATCAGAAGATTCGATTTGACACACGATAAGTTGCCTTATCATCGTCTATAATACGGTGTATTTTTCCGTGTATCATCACTCATATCTTGAAAAATCAAATAATAGTATATATCCAATTAATTCATAGTCCACTCCTATTTGTATTGTGTAAAGTATCGCACATCACAGTACAATAATAATCAATTATACTCTTGGGTTTACAATTCTGTTCCTACCCACTTCAACCATGTGAATAAAATCATTTAAATAAATCTCATAATATTATTATTACAATTTATCATCAAATTCAAGCTCAACTTGTATCTACCGTTGGTAGATTTCATTCTGTATAGACTCGGGCCAAAATAAGTTGTTTAACCAACTGCATACAAAAATAGACTTTTACAATTAAAACTAACACCCGAAATCTCAAACGCTACTCAATTTTAAGTCGCGCTTAAATATAGTTCTGTCTCTACAAATTCTTTGTAAAATGACAGAGATGGCACTATATTTAAGTCCAACTTAAAATTGAGTAGCCTTTTTGTATTCGGGCGTTATTCTGCAGCAAGGTTTTAGTACCCTAGTACTTAATTTCATCACGCTATAGTCCCCTGGAGCTGGTAGTAGGTAACTCACCCTGGTCGTCGTGATGGTGTTTATGCGTGGCGGCGGGCTGTGGCTCCCCGCGGTACCCGTTGCGGAGCTCCGCGCGAGTCAGGCTCTGACTACGGCCTTCCGATAGCCTGGAATTTAGTATTAAACCATTAAGGGCCGATTTTTTAATCATCAGTTGATTGTTAACTGAGGACTTTGAATATTTGACAATTCTTCCATACTAAAAACTGTTAAATAACAATTTTATTCTATAGTAAAGAATTAAATGTCGACTGTGAGACAATGCCCAAGGCATTAAGTCCGCCTGTACATTTGTTTTTGTACTAAGTCTTAAATAAATAAATGATGATTGAAACATCGGCCCTAAATATGTCTCTAAGATTATAGTGTTTATCATAGACAATGGATAGATGTCTGGGAGTGATTTTTATATGTAATAAGCCGATAAACGAGCAGACGGAGTAGATGCTACAGGATGCCCAATTACCCACCCCTATTAAATTGGAGGACCAAGTAACCCCCCCCCCCCCCCATTCCTTTCTCCAATCCCTGAATCCCCAACAATCCTCAAATTCCTAATCCCAAAAGGCCGGTAACGTACTTGTAATGGACACCCCTAAACACCAGAGGTGTTAGAAGTGTGTTACCGGCCTTTTGGGGATTACGAATTTAAGGATTGTTGGGGATTTGAGGATTGGGGAGATTGAGAAGGGGAGTACTTGGGCCTCCAATTTAAGATATTATTGGTTTAATTAACTTATTGGACTCGACAAACGTCGTCTGAATCTCGCTTTTAGAAGGCCATTCACATGCAAAGACCGACTCACCTATCATTGAGTAGTAAGGGCGACGGTGGGTGCAATCGCTCGTGTAGCGCGGGGGGCTCCAGTTCCGTAGTGCTACCGTTTGCTGAAACGAAACAAACACAGCAATTAATACACGAAAATACGTCCATAGTGCCTCAAATCAAACGAGTTAATTAAACGAAGAGATATTTTTCTTAACAAAAATCGTGGGTTATACACGTGAATATACTGAGAAAAGCCCTACTAGTTTCGAACCACAGATGGGTTCTTCCTCACGTGAGTAACCCACGATTTTAGTTAATTTAGTATGTCTCACGATAGTTATTATAAAAACAGATATTTTTCCTTTGCTAGTTACCTTCATGCCCTAACATTTGGTGTTGCCGACTGGTCCGCGGCGGGGGCTCGGGCGACCGCCCTGTACTATGTTCTCTACTTAAACTGAAACAATTTACATTTATATTACAATGTATCAAATAAAAACGGAATCTATTTATAAATCGTCAGTTAATATCTTGACTTATTGTTACTGGATCAATGAAAAAAAAAAACATAATTCAGAGTCATAAAGCTACGCGTCAATAGTATAATATCTGGTGTTAAAGACGCTCACAGGTTTCAGTAATTGCTCAATAGACTTGTTAGCGTTTTAAAGAAACTTACCTTCTATGCCTAGGAGTAGAATGCAGGTCGACCCTGGACCTCCTTTGCTGGTTCTGATGGTAGAACCTCTGCAGTACTATAGGACTAGTATTACCCGAACTCTGTTCAAATACAAATTACAAAATTAGATACATCATCCTAACAATGCATGCAAATACCACCTTTATAACAATAAACACTAAATCCAAATTACCATGACAGAAAGATGGCTGAAAAGGGTTATACAACAATTTCATTCGCAATGATATTCATTCATAAGTGACTGGTGTGCCAACATCAACTGTATAGTCATAACACAAAGTTGATTTTACAATGACAAGAAAAGAAAGAGTTTGAAAGTTTGATTTGCAATTGGAACTAAATAAATTCATTCAAGTTTGAACTATATGCTTGTGGTGACTAAGTTGACTTTGAAATGTATTATCTATTGAGAGGTAGATAGAAGATGTTCCTATTCTAATAATATTGTTTGTAACAGTATCTAGTGGAGTGATTAGTTAACTGCGATGAATTCTTTCTACAATTCATTCACTAGGTCAACCACACGGTGCTACCTACTACGTCAGCGCAACTCAAGTTTTCAAATGTGCTAAAAATAGTTTTACTTTCCAAAAGATAACTAAGCTTTACAATTTCGGTTTATAACATTTTAGTTGTTTTCACTTAAGTAGATATACTATTCGATTATGCCCGACTAGTTTCGGACTACACCGGGACTCATAATCACTAGCTACGCGAGTACAGATGACGTTACATAAATATGATTAAAAATTATAATGTTTACGATTTATTTAAATTAAACGAAAATTACGGTTTACAATTTTTTCTTTTCAAAAAGTAACCTACAAAATATCTAATTTTCATCGTTGCGAGGACGTAACAGGTACATATACTGGACATACATATAGCAGCTCCAATTCGCGATCGGGAGACCTAACGAGGATAGTGGGGCTCAGCAGATACGCAGACGCCCTCGGCTGAGACACCACTTTGAAGCTTAAGTCCAGCACCGGACGGCGATAGACACCGTCTTTGTTTGCCTGGATTTACGTCTTACCTTTTATTACGTATATATATAGAAATGTATTCTCACACACGCTCCATCATATTCATGCATGCATACAAGCGCGCCAATTGGGTAGTAAATTAATTAGTCTTTGTTGAAAAAATATTAGACACGTATTTTTTTTTCTAGTATATACTTACAATACTTAGATAAAATGGCGTTAAGTTAAAGAATGGGAGGTCGTTACCTCACTATTGAAGAATAATAAACGAGATGAAAGTTTAACAATACTTTTATTCGCCGGTAAAGATTGAGCACTAGCGCCACATGTGAGACCAATCAGAAACTTAAGTTGTGTTCAGAAACTACATTAAACTAGCAATATAGATTTTATGTTTACTATTTCAACAGTCACAAATTGCTACAAAATGTAGTGACGTCACATGATATTTCCAATTAATATATTTTGTGAGAAAAGAAAAAATACGTGTCTAATGTTTTAAATTAATCTACCAGCCGAACATTAAAATAAAATTTAGGAAACTAATCTATTAAGAGTACTTCGTGTCTAAATGTTTCCAGTACCTCTGCAATTTCACGCTAAGAAGGGCAATTTAAACATATCTTCTAGATTTTAGAAGAATTGTTTTAATGACTCGTACTACTGTTAGCATTGACATAACCTTTCTTATTCTTTTATAAAGTCCTGTTTTCGTCCATCCTTTCGACATGGCCCATGTGCCTTTTTGGTAATAATATATTTTCATCTTAACTTATCACTTCATTCCTTCCTCTGGTCTGTTAGTCAGTCATTTTATTTATACAAGTAGTGAAGTATTATGTAGTATTAATGTACGACTTACCGCGGGGGACGCACGCCAGCGGTTATCAGCTGATACCCTGCGCACTGGTGGGGGAGGGGGGGATGCGCACGCGTCTATTGTTCTGCCGACAATTAAATACGTTAATAACAACGAAAACTGCATCAAAATTAGTCATTAAAATAAGAAAGCTTGTAATTCAAAGTCAAAGTCAAAGCATTTATTTCAATTAAACCATAGTTTGGTACTTTTGAAACGTCAACAAATACAAAATAAATAATAGTCTGTCAGTCAGTCCGTCAGTGAAACTAGGTGAAGCTAGGTGCTCATTCCAAAAAGTAGATTCGAATGGAGAAGAACGAGCAAGAAACTCCACTCGTTACTCTTTTTAAAAAAGTATGTATGTAATGATTTTAAAATATACCTTCTCCTAGGATATGGCGAGTGGTTAGACATGTCAGTCTCTAAGCTGGTCGGCTGAGAACTGCTGCCGCCCGCGTTTGCGTTGCCACTTGTCGCCCACCACGCTCTGCAAATAAATACAATATAACTTGTGTAATAAGGTTGAAATTCAGTTGAACGATGCTTTTTGGAATAACTTCAATACATTAGATCAGATCAGATTGCTCGATGAAAAGAGCTGAAAACAGCCCACTGAATACGGCCACTTATACAATAAACACGTATAATTTTTTTTCTTCTTTGGCAACCGAGTCTCCAAAACGGAGGGCCGTATAATTACTACCAGGCGAGATATTGGCCAAACGTCGGCCCATCAAATATAAAAAAAATTTACAGCCAGTAAAGTTTAGAATTGTCATGATTCATTTGATTATGTTGAACGACTATTACTCGATACCTGAATAATAAAAACGAGGGTTAACTAAATCCGTACAAATACGTAAATTCGTACTTACCTCGCAGGCGTTGGAGTAACCTGCTCCATCCAATGTTGCGAGCTAGTCACGAAGTTCCTAACTGGTTGCGGAGTGACGGGCGTCTCCACGCCATTGGTCGGCGTGGGCGGGGCCTGTGGCGACACCGCACCTTTAGCCCCGCCCCCCTGCCCTGATATGGAGAGGGAGGCGTACCATGCCCCCACTGATATGGAACTCCGCGCGGATTTCACTACGAATGGATGTTCTAGAAGCTTCGCGTATTTGGGACGCTGTCTGTAGTTCTTTGTTAGGCTGGAAAGTAAGTATAGGTAATTTTTGTAACATTATATGATTTTGAAGAGTTCATTGTTTCTAGTGGACCATGATACATATAAACTACTGAAGTTGATATTAATTAGGTACTAAAAATATGAAGGATTGTCTAACTTCCTCCTTGAACAATAGGAAAAAGGTGTCAATTTCTATAAAAATAAATTAATATGAACTTACCACTGGGACACAAATAATTTGAACTCTGGTGTGAAGTCATCCGTGTCTGGTAGCTGTGGGGGATCGTCCGCTATTACCTGTGTAACAAACAAACCATTATTGCATACATTTTTATATAAACATCAACTTTATTGCTACACAATAAGGTTGGAAATCTCTTAACAGAGTGACTTACACAGTGCATATCAGTGCTAAGATAAAATGCACATTAACATTGTCATAATAAAGTATATTATCACTGTCACTCACCCTAGTGAGCACTTCAAAGTCGTTCTGGCAGTCTCTGTATGGGAAGACTCCGGTGGCGAGCTCGACGAGTGAGATGCCGAGCGACCACACGTCCGCGCGGATGTCGTAGTCCGGCCGCGTCGGGTCCGGCGGGTCTATTCGCTCCGGCTGAGGGAATATTTCACATTTTATCTCAATTTTCTGTAGGCATAAGGTGTGATAACAAGAGTATGGACGGAGAGTTGCGAATGTTCTAAGAGCCGACTAAGATACTATACGTTTAAAAGAAACAGGATAGCAGCACGCTCTAATTAACTTGTTCCTTCAGTGATCTACAACCCGCCTGCCAAACGTAGAGTTTGTGACAAGGCCCTCATGTAGACTTTAAGGTTACGTAAATAAAGGTCGTTTTTCATTCACAGAACCAGATGATTACTTCCAATATTGTTCCTTCAGTGATCTACAACCCGCCTGCCAAACGTAGAGTTTGTGACAAGGCCCTCTTATGTAGACTTTAAGGTTACGTAGATAAAGGTCATTTTTCATTCACAGAACCAGGTGATTCCTTCTAATATACTTACAGCCATGTAGGCAGCACAGCCCGCGCTCCTAGTCTTAGCCTTGGAGTCGACGAGGCGGCCACTGATGCCGAAGTCACAGAGCTTGACGTTGCCGCGCTCGTCCAGTAAGATGTTGCTCGGCTTCACGTCGCGGTGGATCACGCCGTGCGTGTCCTTCAGGTACGATAGCGCGTTCACCGTCTGGAAAATTATTAACATTAATATATAAACCTTTAGAGTTTTAACGTGAACATTGATAACAGATAGTTATAACTAATCGGAAACTCATGATCATTATCAGAGTGTTTTTAGTTACCATCTCTATATTTACATATATTATTGGAAAGGGTTTTTTACAAAGCATACATTTCATTTCTGACATAAATTTTCATTACATTACATTAATAAATAGAGTACAAGAATTAATTTATACTACAACAACAACATTGTCCCTAGACTAGCCATTCTTAACAAAATGAAATAATCAAGTCACACTCACCGCTACAGTGACCTTCCCCAGGATAGCCTCAGGTATGGGTGCTCCGAGCCTCTTCAGCAACTTATCGAAGCAGGAAGCCATCAGCTCCATGCAGATCCAGACATCAGCGTCTGTCACGAAGCAGCCCAAACACCTCACGATGTAAGGACAGTCGTGGGAACGGACCACCACGTCCAGGTCCATTAGAATACGTTTTGTTTCTTCCGAGTTACCGGAGCGACGCATTTGCTGTAGAAGAAATATTACAATGTATAACTTATTAGCTTGAGCCCGCGTCTTCGCACGCATTATCGGGGTAAAAAATACTCCATATGTTATCCCAGACAATAATCTATCTTTGTGCCACATCACACCCAAACCCGTCGTAGTAGTTTTTTCGTGAAAGAGTAACAAATATATGTCACAAACTTTGCGCATTTATTAATATTAGTAGGATATGATTTGTCTGTATACAAATACACATAATTCCAAAGGGTAGAGGTTAAAAGAGTTGTGTTATCACTGATGTAGGTATGTAGAGTAAATTTTTGGGTTTTTACAACCATAATTATGTTGTAGATATGTGATATGATAGTGTATATTCTGCCGTAAAATAACTTGGGATATACGGGAGGGATGACGAACACTACAATAAAGCTTACATCTTATATTTTTCTTTTCTCAAGGTAAAGCGCCACCTTGCCTTGTTTTGACTTTTAAATTTAACAAAAAATGTAAATATTGCATACATTCCAATACATTCATAAAGAAGCGACAAAGGAATACGAACCTTAACAGCTATGACAGTGCTGGAAGGTTTGTGAAGCATCTTGACAACATGGCCGCAGGTGCCGCTGCCGAGCTCGCCCAGCTGCTGCAGGTCATCCACGTGTGATCTGTACTCCACGCCGTCTACATTCAGTTTGCCACTAACCTGTAGCAAAATTATTATAATGTTAAAAAAGGTATAAGGTAAGGTAGGTCTGGTTTCTGCTAATGAACAATTACTTCATGTCTTCTGAGACCGAAATCGAAACGAAACCTCGTTCGGCGCTTTGATTGGTGGGTTTATTGGCGCCAGCCAATCAGAGGCAGTAGACACTTTGGTGACACAGTATTTGTCTGTTAATGGAATTTGAACCTAATTAATAATTACAAAACAGAAATGTTTTTACCAATAGGGGCTATTAACTCTGTTATATTTGTGGGAATACTTAACTTGTTATTATGTTGATCTGAGGCCTTAATACAAGTTTGTCTTACGTATAAAGTAATTGTAACGAGTACGCGTTCGGCGCTCTGATTGGTTGGTTCATTGGCGCCCGCCAATCAGAGCGCCGAACGCGTACTCGTTTTGAATACTTAAAACGTAAAACAAACTCGTACTAAGGCCTCTGATCAATATAATAACAAGTTAAATATTCCCACAATTATAAAAGAGTTAATAGCTCCCATTGGTAAAAACATTTCTGTTTTGTAATCAATAAGGTTCAAATTCCATTAATAGACAAATACTATGTCACTAAAGTGTGTACTGTTCAACCAACAACGGAAAGTGTAATCTTTTCTAACAGTGATAAAGTAGATAGTCCCAAAACAAACTTGTAGATAGTAAGCTATACAAATTACCTTATAAACCTCTCTCATTCTGTATTCAGTCTCAGAAGCTTGTGGTGACCTCGGCGGGAACTCTGTTATGTTTCTGGTGGGAAACATAGATGCTGGAACAATTACATATTAAATTAGAACAGAAGTTGAATACAGAATTGGGTGTAAATAAGCTGCTACATAATGGTAAGAGACCAACACGGCCCATTAGTATGGTTGGTCCACATATCCACAATCAAAAAGTTACATAATATTTTTATTTCAATTATAATCTATCCTGCCCTAAGATAGCTGGATATCTATCATTTGTAATCATATTGCCAGGTAGCAATAAGTTTAAGTTGATCGTAACTGACACACTTATGAACAGTGTAATAAATGAAACTCCTTACAGTGCAAGTTAGCTCCTTACAATACCAATAAGATTATGCATGTATGAATATTATTGCAATTTCGTATGCTTGCTGCTGCTCAGGCCATAATCAGACACATAACATACCATCACCCTTTTATCCCCGAAGGGATAGGCATAGGTGCACATTATAGCACTTGCCGCTGTACAATGTAACACCCAAATTTTTACTTTTATGTTATTAGTCCCATGTAATAGGGGGTGAGTGAGCCTATTGCCATATACCAGACACAATTCCAGACTCCATGCTACTACTAAGAATTTAAAAAAAAAAACAGTATCTTTTGCTTGACCCGGGAACCAAACCAGAAACGAGGCAACATATGCTTATTTTCTCCAAAATATCAATGTAGTACGCTTCCATCTTCCAAACCTCTTGCAAATTAGACTTAAATTAGAAATACTTCTGGCGCATACAATTAGCACATAAAGAATTGAAGAGTGAAAGTAATATATGTGTTAGTTTGGCAAAGATTGCATCAACAAATCATTTTCAGCAACATGTGAAATGTGGCATTATTATTTCTAGACACAATTAAATGAGAAATTAATTGAAGCTCATGTATTCAGTAGCTGTAGGACTTATTGACTAAGAGCATGAAACAAATCTTATACTATATATAAAGCGGACGAGTTTGTTTGTTTGTTTGAATGCGCTAATCTCCGAAACTACGGGTCCGATTTGAAAAATTCTTTCTGTGTTGGATACCCCATTTATCGAGGAAGGCTATAGGCTATAAAATATCACGCTACGATTAATAGGCGCCGAGCAGAGCTAGTGAAACCGCGCGGAAGTAGCTAGTAATACATAAAGTAATGCATAACAAAAAAAAACCTTTATAATAGCTGAATTATAATTAGTAACAAATCCTTTCCTGCCTCATTGACCGAGTAATCACAAGTGCAACTGCCGCAAGAGCAGAGAGGTCTCGGGTTCGATTCCTGGGTTGGACAAAGTATTACTGGGTTTGTAAAAACCTCAGTAGTAGCACAGAGTCTGGGAATGTTTCCGGTATATGGCAATAGGCTTACACATGGGACTCATAACATAAATAGTGAAAAGTGGGTGTTACATTGTACAGTGGCCTTAAGTGTTGTAATATGCACCTCTGCCTACCTCTGCCTGCCTATGTTATGTTAACATATCCTTTTTTGATCAGTATTAATTAAAGATTATATCTTAACATTTTGAATCAAGATTTATATTTAAATGTAACCAAAGTATCAAAAAGTATGAAATGCAAAATAAGACCAATTCACGAGACTAATAAGAAACAATTTTAAACACATTACAATCAAATAGTGAGGTAACATTGAATTGTTTTATTATATCAATGGATTATCTTTCATTATCAGTTGTACATCTATGACATAACATGGTTACGACGGACTAATCATAAGTTTACATAAAACATTTTATGACAAGAAGTCTTAAATTATAGTACTGATAGATATGCCTCATTAAAACCAATAAATTTTCATGAAAATTATTCTGACTAGCGCATTGTCTGTGGCTTTGATGAAATCAACCTGATTGACTTTTTCATGAACAAATTGTGATGTTTGGTTCTCTATTTACTATTCATCTTCTTTTCTTTCTTTCTGAATGATATTACTAAAATTACATTTTAACATCTATAAAAGAAAACCTATTCTAGTATGAATTAGTTATTTGACACTGAATTACCAATTTCTACAAAACATTCAATTAGGTCACCCTAACTAAAGCAAGACTTATTGATAAAATACAGCAGTTAGTTCTTGTATCTGTCATTTGTTACTTAAATAAATACATGCATTATAACATGGGGCTTGCAATAAACGCTGGTGCCAAGATACATAATCACAATATCAAAATGTACATGCTAAAACAAAAATAAAAAACAATGAATGGGTGCATGTCTCAGAAATGACCACCCACCTCACAGTCAATGCCAATTTATGCAAATAATTTGTACACAATGTGCAGCCCAGGCGGCAGGGAAGCTGTCTGCATGCATTATAACACATTAATTTGTCACTGAACACAGCATAACCTTTATCCATGTTGATAACAGAGGCCCACTTTCTGCTGTCTAATCTACACTGAAATTCATACTTCTAATTGACACAGACCACAAATTATCACTGTACCCTTTGCTAAAAGCACTGAAATAGCAAATTAACAACGAAAAATAGCAGCACAGCTTCAAAAATATGTAATAAACGCAAAGATAAAATTGTAATGAGTATGAAAAATGATAGATGTCGTGTGACTACAAATGCACATATACACTGAACATTATCACCAAGATACTCACGGGGCTTCGGCCTGGTCCTGCCGCCCCCCGGCCTAGGAGTTCCAATTCCACCTTGGTTGTTGAAACCACCTTCTCTTCGAATACGCATTTCATTTTCGAAACGTTCTTGTAAACCTTTCAGCTTCCCCTCAATCGAACTATTTGACATTATAGCAACAAAAATAGTCCACTGATAACATTTAAGTACTTATTACAAAACAAATATCCTAAATTTTATTTACACAAAATTACAATGAAAAGCGCAGCAGTCCAAGGATTTCCTTCAATTTCCTTCGTCAACCATTTCCATTCGTTCGTTTTTAATCTTCTAATCACCAAAAGATATTCACTCATTTTGATCAAAACATTCAAATGCTATCTAGCCAAGTATAAAAGTAGTTACCCTTTACAGTTTTTCTCTTTCTTACAAACTGTTCGTACGTAAGCAGTGGAATTTTTAAAGTGATGTTTAATTTGGTCGAGTGTGATTTTATTCGTCAAATAGTAAAAAAAAATAATGATTGTTTACAATATATATATTTTTTATGAAATAAAGATATTACTTTGCCCAAATAAAATAACGAAAAAATCTTATAATTTTTAGAAGCCTTTATTTATTTTGATGATTTCTGAACGCCGATTTATAATCTGTCAATTAGTTCTCAAAAGACTTGATCCCAAACACAGATAAAAAATACAATTCATTTCATTTCGCGTTTCTCGTCTTTTTGCATTACATACTTTCCGAAAAGAGAAAACGAGATATTTTGGAATTCTACAAGAAATTGTATACTTAGTTTCCTTCAAGATTATTAAATTAACGATAAATGGCTAACAAAAACTAGTGCGAGTTTAAGTACGCAAGTGTAATGAAGGAAGTGAAAAAGTGTCAGAAACTTGTTTCCCTTTGATGAAATGACGTGAAAATACAATTTCATAAACATTTTAGTGGAAATGTGTTTGTTATTGTGCGTTTGATTGTGTATGTTCGATCATAATGCAGTCAACGACGGAGGGATGTATGAATATCGCCGAGCTAGCGAATCAGCTGAGGCGTGAGAAGATATTTATCAACTCTGAGAGGCAGCTGTTGCAGAAGCTCAATGAGGAGGTTGAGAAACGAGCTCTAGAACTTCTGCAGGTGGCCTGGATCTGCCTGCAGCAGCGGCAAAACCTTACGAATTTAATTACATCAAGATGTGATGCTGATTCTATAGCATACTGCCAGAGAGCAAGTCACCTTGAACGAACGATTTTTGTGGACGCCTTTAAAGTCTTGAAGTACAAGGTAAGTCATATATTTTTAATAATAGAAAATAAGACACAAGACTAAACTTTATAAGTACCTACATCTGTATATTTATTCTTTGTTATTGCAGTCACATGACATTTCAATAAAATAATTTAAAACTATTACACACTAAAATATAATGTATTGGTTTGTTATTAATTCTGATATAAGCATAGTTTCAACATAATAGTACTTGTAAAGTTAGTTGATAGCGCTACAAAGCAATGACCTACATGTCCACCCACTTTTTATAATTATCAGTAACTATTAAATAATTTCAAGATAGTTCATTAGATTGAATTATTACTCACAAATCCTTATAATTTATTCCATCAATTACTATTATTGTAAATTATTCTGCATTCTCATATTGCCAGTTTATTTTGAAATGCAATAAATTAAATAATATGAAATATAATTTTAGGTAGCTACTGACATTTATTATGTTTTGACATTTACTTACTGTTATAATCTAATTATAATTCAAATGTTTTGCTCTTAGCCAAATGGTCAACCTTTATAAATTGAATTACCTGTCCCAGAGTTCTAAACTTACCAAAATGTTTTACAAATACCTAATTAGTATTTGTAAGTATTGCATTCTATTATTAAGACCTATGAGACAAGTTATAAGTGAAAAATAAATATACTGTACATAATTACTTAATTGATAAATTAATTTGTAGTATGTTTGACTAACTATACAGGTATATTTATAAACAATATTATCCCTAATAACATAATAAAATGGCTGTCTGTATTTGAATAAAAATAAATGGGTAAAATCAAACTCAGTAGAGGTCACTTTACTTAAATTCTATTTTCTAGAGAAAATTGATTCTCTTTAGAGTGGCAGTTGTTTTGGTAGATATGTTTTTTTAATAGTGTAGTTGAGAATTAGTGACTAAATTACAAAATCTGTAAATCACGCAAATGGGCAATTTTTTAAACATACTTCCATTAGCATGCTTTTGTCATAGTATAAAGAACAAAGTAGGTTATCTTCATACAAATGCTCCGCGCGCGGCTTATATGTGTGCGCCATAGTATCTATGCGTCGACGCACGCACACTTTAACAAAATCTCGACCCGTTTCTCAGTGCGCCAGGCAGGGCTAACACTGCACGAGGTTCGCGCGCGCATCACTTTTCGGCACTGTTCAATGAAATAAAAAATGTCTGATAACCATAGAAGAACGTATTGCTGTGTGTTTGGGTGTCTTAATAATTAATCGATTCCAGAACTGTCTCTGTTCAGATTACCTATTGAACAGGAAAGGTAAGCTAGTCACTTTTTCTAGCATAATATAATTTGTAGGTACTTGATGATGAGATACCTACTTACTTATTCTTACTCTTATCATTCTTCATAGTTCATACTCAACCAGAAATGTTATACCTACTATACTTAATATTATAAGAAAATGTGGTATTGTATTGTTTATTTCACAGTTTATCTGATTTGTTAAGAGTGTGGCCGTGTCGCATTTTTCCATATAAATGTATTCCCAAATTTACTTTCTGAATACTATGTATAGAGCTAAAGTTTATTTTAAGAAGTTAATAATCTTTTTATAAGCTTTTTATTTTTACTAAATTTATAAATTGATAAAATATTCAATCATAATATGCTTTTCATTTCATAAATTTAGATCAAGTGCTGCTTGTTCGAAAATATTAACTAAAAGTAAAAGTGACAACCCTGGGGATCAACGCAAGAGTAGGCTAATAACTCGGCGGGCGGCCTTAGATAACCTACTGTGTTCTTTATACTATGCTTTTGTCCTCTCTTCCTTTAATCTGACAAAGTTGATTTTTTTAATCAGATTTATTGTTTTATTTTTTAGTCCCCCCCCCCCCTCTTCTAATCATATTGGATATATCGTGGGTATATTCAACATGACACTAGGTTTTCCCAATATGTCAATCTGACGTGCTCAAGTAACTATCGAAATCCCTTCATGGGCTCCCCTAATATTATAGGTAGTAGACAACAACACAGAAAGCTAGTGAAACTTTATTGCATAATCATCCAATTTCTGTTCCCTCAATACTCCACACTACACTTGATCTAATTTAATTTAGTTTATCAACAGACCGGGGTTATCTTCTAAAACTGTTCTTGTTTAATAAGTCCACAGCTTAAGTAGCGAGTAAATAATGATCTAATTGTACACAGTTACTCATAGTTTGTTCTAAAATTATACTCTTAATTATCAATATTGGGAAAGGACTATAAAATAAACTTGCCTAAACTAAATTAGTTAATGGGTGTTTCAGTGTTATTGGGGTTTTTACGCATTTCTCAGTAATATTACATAGTGGGGAATTGTTGTTATAGGCTCAACTCCTTAAAACCCCTGTAAACCGAGTGTAGCATTTTGTATGTGCACCTCAAGTACCCTGGGAATTAAGAACCGTGATATTACTTATGTTGTGTAATCAATTATTACACCTAATAAAATACTAATTAATAATTACAAATTATCCCATAACAATACAGTGAAAGTTCATAGTAAAAACAAACACGCAGACAGACAATAAAGCATGTTACAATGTGGGTATACCTGTACCACATTGTTTTAATAACTTGCCCCTAGTCACACATGGTGGACTAAAACAATAGTATTCATTACCATGTAGGTACCTGGCACAGTTGGTACCTTGTTATAAGCCTTTGTGTGAATGTGTGACAAGTCGACGACTACCAGTGAATGAGTATGCTGTGTATGGATAATGTGAGGGCAGTCAAACAGGAAATTAGGTGAATTGAGTCACAATGATTTTGATTTGTGGGTTCGGAGTTGAGCTGGTTTGGTTTAGGTAGGGTGTATTGTTAAAATTTGTGTTCATTTGGGTGGTTAAATGTTTTATGTCTCTCTTGGTTTTGTTTGACTGTAATTTTAGATAGAGCTTTTCATAGTTAATGATATTTAGCCTATTAAAAGGAATACATGAATCCTTACTAATATTATAAATCGGAAAGTGAGTTTGTTTGTTTGTTCCACTTTCATGCCGTAACTACTAAACCGATTGCTTTGAATTTTTGCAGACGTAAAGTTAGAAGCCTGGATTAAATAATAGGATACTGTTTATCCCGGAAAAATTGATATTCTTGAGTGACAACGAAATTATTGGTATAGATGGCGCTGTGTGTATTGGTTTATGTCACATAGGCTACTTTTATCCTTTTGTGACGCGAGCGAAGCTGCGGGTAAAAGCTAGTTATATTATAAATCCCTTTTTAGACACGAAAAGTAATGCTGTTTCTATAGTAAATTTCCAAAACCTAACTAGGTTTTTCTTGACCTTACATAAGTTTGACTCAGAACCTAATGTTCAGCAATCTCATTTGCTTTTACTGTCCCAAACCTAACCAACGATAATCAGTTTGGCATGCAGAATACGAAACACGGCATAGTAAAACCTCGCAGTCTCATTGACTTACTTTAGACACTAAACATAAATAAATTTATCATAATTTACTACAGAATAATACTTTATATCATACGTATTTCCTGGTACAATATTACTACAGTTTCATTGAAACTGATGATAAGTCCGCCCCCCATAAGTGGGATGTGAAACCAATATTTATGACGAAGTCTTTCGCTGAACGAAACTGAGTTATTAGTACCGAAATAATGTGTCATCATTTCTCCAAAACGACTAAACAGGAAATATTTAATGCCACACTTAAAATATATATAGGTAGGTCCTTCCCACGATTTATTCTCACAATACGTAGCCGTACCTACATCTAACTTCAAACATATCTATCGGATTATGGCGGAAAATTGCTATTTGCGCTAATGTTTCAACCACGACCTTAATCCACGACAGACAAATTAATATCTAATTTTAATTATAAGATAAGGAATACTGTACACATACATAGCGTGTTATTAGCAAACATAGTTAATAATAATTACCTAGGCACAGTCGCTAGAAAAACATCGGAATATGATACTCTCCTATCATATGCATAACTTTCAATATTGAATAAAAAGAAGACATGCCAATATGATCATTATAAACACTGTCCCTTCAGTATTTATCGATCTAGTTTAGCGGCACTTGTCCTCGAAGCATACCTAAGCAATCGGCAGTGTCTCACGCTAGACTGTTTATCAATAATGCACCTTATTGATCCGAGCTCCGAGCTATCCCCTTGTCGGTAGTGTTAGAAGTTGTTTATCTAATATTGCAGCTTGTTACACGCATAAAATGATGCTATGTTTACAAAACTATCAATAACTAACGCTTATCTGTTATTAAATTATTATTCATTTATCTGCGTGTGTTGGTAAAAGCAAATGTTTTTAATGTGTGCACTGGGGATTTAACAAATAACTCCTGTTTTCATAAATAGAATTTATTTTTTGTAATAATCTGCCAAAGGAACCTTAATCATCATCAGCCAGTAACTGTCTCACTGACCACTGTCCAAAGTCGTATTTTGATGCAGAGAAGGAAAAAAAAATACTCAAGTCACCGATTATTATACATACTGCCTTAAACCCGTGGCGGAAAGTTCAAAGTCAAATGAACTTTATACCAAAATAGCTGAATAATTGAACAACAACTGCAATAAGGAAAATAGGCGTTTAGAAATCAGCACTAGTTCCGAATGAAAGGCAAAACTAAAACAATAGTATAGTTAGAAAGTTTGATAGTATTGTCACCACTCAGTGATTATTGTTAACTGTAAATTAAATGCATTCAATGATAGAATGTACAGTTGTTCGTACACTGTAGCCAATAGTCAGTTGATTTGCAAATAATACGGTTGCATCTCTACAGGACAAAGTTGCGTCCCTCCCAGTCCGATAAAAACAGCGGAAAAATGTCCATAATCCGTTGATTACACATTGATATCTTGGGAAAAGTAAACTAGCATCTTCATTCCATTAGAAAAATAGCAATCTTCATAACTTCAACTAGAACAAGTACAGGTGCATCAGAACCTTTTCTTAGTTTCTATAATAAAGCGCCAACTCGTAAACAATAAATGCGGAATACACATTAATACGACTCACGGACTCATAAACAATCCCTTCCATGACCTACGCTAACAGGAAGTAAAGGTACCAGTTCGTTATGGGCATTTCTAAGCTATTCCCAACCTGTGTTTATGAGTACTGAATGATTTATTGCTCGTTTCTGCAATACGGTAAACTTGATAGGAACGTCGTAACATGTGGCTGATTTCTCCCGACTTTGCTAGGCAGTTAAATTACACATTTAGTTTTGGACAAACCACATAACATATAAACCCAGATTTTAAATTTATATGGCGATATTCTATAAGACATAGCAAAATGTGTTGGTGAGCGCATAACTCAACCACGCCTATACCATTTTGTTAAATGTTCGTTGAAGTTCAAGCTGACATACCGGACGTCTCTTCGAGAGTATTTCAAAATATTTGTTTAGGATACAATCGCAGGTCCGGATCTCTATTTGTTGTTTGTACACGTGCCTCTGCAATGCAAAAATATATATAAAATTTGTTAAGTAAATTAGTACATCGTCGGTAACTAAAATTACGTTTTAAAGTTGGGTCATATTGGATTTCTTAAATGCTTTGTTAGAGCGATACGAGGTCCATCTATACTATAACCCGGTCGTTTGGTACTTCTACAGCACAGGCAAAGAGTAGTGATCAAATGAACGTATAGCATTGGTAACAGACTTGAACCTTCAAATCTAATTTATGAAGCATTCTAAATGATAAATAATCTTGAACATGTTGGTCTATTCTACTAAATTCCTTTCTGCTCATACTTCCTAGCTTAACTAAAGTGCGTATATTTTATATTATGTGTAATATCGAGGCCTCTGTAATACGTTAGGCATGCATGTTTGACGTACAATGCACTATGCGTTCGCATGAATTGCAAACAATACTTTTGAACCCGCGACCGCGGCAGCAGGAAGTGCTAGTGGCGGTGACGGCTAGTTCGCGACGACATGCTAAATGCAATTGTTTAGCGATTCGTTTTACATAGTAATGCTATATTATTGTTTACTTGTTAAAATGGAATGATGGTTAACTAACTAATAAAGTAAATAATGTGCTACATATTATTTCAAATGAGAGTAATTTCCAGGAAAGATGAAAAGCAACCACGAAAACACGTCTGTGACACGTAAAATATTTATAAAATTATTTTTCACATTTGCTTTAAGAAGATTTATTGGACAAAGTGAAAGATACTAACCATACAAAACGCACAATTGTAGCATTAAGAAAATCTTTCCATTATAAATTATTTCATTTGCTTCTTTTTGCACATGGCCTTGAAGCAAAATACGACGTATTTCTTACTTATAACTACTAGAATAGCCACGTATGCAAGAACATGCGCATAAAATTAAATATTCTTTTATAAATCAATAAAAATCCATCTGAATGGCTGCATTGAAGTTTAATTGACTACAACGTATCCCATAAATGGAATCAGTAACAATATTACCGTGGGGAAATGTTGAATGGGACAGACCGACAGACGACGGACGTCGTGGTAATTGAAACGCAATGACCTACCGCCCCCGCGAAGTTGTTGTCGTAGGTCAAGAGAAAACAGGGAACAACATGCATTATGTACATTGTACATACAATAAGTTATCATATAACATCTGTTGGAATAACTATTGTAAAAAACATTATTACTGTACTAGCTGAGCCTGCGACTTCGTCCGCGTGGAATAGTGATTCACAGCTTCTCTCCTGTAGTTGATAACATGATAATATGTTGCCTATAATGTTGACCCGACCTGTTAGTAAAATTCATGCAAAATTTGACGTAAATCCATGCAGCACTTTTTGAGTTCATCCCGGACATACATACAGACAAACAGACAAAAATTCTAAAAACCATATTTTTGGTTTCGGTATCGACGGTACGCGCAAAGGATTCTTTAAAAAAAAATGGATGTACAGTTTTCACTTTCCTACTATTTTATATTTTTATTATAACGTATAGATAGATATGAATACCCTATGAACTCCTTACCATTTTGACACACCCTTATAACAAATTGACCAATAAAAACATTAGCGACAACTAGTATAAAATAGGCCTAATATTACACAGCATGTAAAATAATGTTGCGTTGATTCTCTGTCTGTAGAAGGTGCAATAAAATATTGTAGTCACGCGTGGTTTAATCGAATTGAAACTATCGTCTGACGCATTTTACTTCAATTAAAACATTCTTTACACACGTGCTCTTTTTTATAAATCATGTACAACAGATATGCTGTCCAACTTTAAAATATGTTTATTTCTTTCTTTAGGAAGCGACAGCTCTAGGTGAGCTCCTAGGATGGCTCCGCGAATCCCCTCACCTTGTGTCCCTTTGCCTCCTCCTTGGCGAGGACAGCATTCCGCCAAGTCTACCAGTGGCGTTGATGTCTGGGCTGTACGGCAGCTGTCGGTCAGCTTCAGACAGGACCAGGTTCCTGGCCGTCATCAGGTCGCTCATCAAACATCAGATGGCACCATCCAGTGATCCTAGGAAGTAAGTACACTTTTAAATATGATATTGACATTGGTTTCTTAACATAGTTAGGACAACTATACACGGCGCTTAGTCGCTTTTAGCAATGATTTAGCCTATTCACTCGGGCCTTGAAGACACCCAGATTTTCACCTACTGCATTATCTATAGTCCATTTGCAGTTGTGACTCAGTTTTTAATCAAAAATCTGTTTAGTAATCAATGGATGGTATCATGGTAATCCAAAAATCGAATGAAGCAATCAGACAATGGGAACTTTTTATAGGGATAAAGGCTAACAATTATAACAAGGGTGTTTTTAATAAATTGTTTACAGGTTCTTTCGCACTGGCAAATGTGCGTTATCCTCCCTGTACGCGGTGTACCGAGATGGACACACACCGGCTCGTCAGTTCCTGGTCGCAGTCCTACAGAACCCCGTGATGGCTGTACTGCATGAGGACGAGTTCTTCCTCGACATCGACCCTGATAAGGCTATGGAGAGGTGAGTGTAGTCACTGTTCTAGCTCTAAAAGATCCTCGTGTCTGCTCTTTTGGTTCCAACTTGTGGAATAAGAGCAGTATTGCGGATCAGGCAGCAGTTATTGTGATCTAGTTCTATTGGATTTTAAGCTTTCAAGGTTTTCATTAATAGCACAGAGTTTGGGTCTAACAATAGGGTTGCCTCTTTCGAAATGCATTTGAGTTTCAAATCGCATAAAATACACCAATAAACGAAGATGAAGTATAAGTTCATTCCAAAATTACATGATTATGAACAACTGAAATTGATGATGTGCTACTGCTAATTGCAATTATAATGATTTATGTAATTATGTCTGGTGAACGCCGCAACCAAAAATGAATCTTAAAAACAAGTTTTGACGGTCTATAATAAGTTATGGAGTTATAAAAACTTGAATTTAATGCATCATTGAGGTTTTATGCGCTCGAAACTTACATGTGGTAGTGGTAGGCACCAGCCATTCTGGTCTTGATAACCTTTCCTTCAGTTCAATTTGAACTCTAGTATCATGGATGAAAGCTGAAAATAGGGTGCAGTTTCATTTCAAACACATTGTTTTAAAGAAACAAACGATGAGAAATGTGTGCAGTGTTATATTTATAATCTAAATATTTATCGAGTAGTGCGAGATTAGACGTGTCCGTCACTTTTATTTTAATCACATAAGTTCCCTGAATTAAAATTATACATGTACTATGTTATGCGCACACTTATATTGGTTGATATATTACTACCAAAAAACAAAAATACCGAGAGGTACCCAAATGAGCATTCAGAGTAAAAAAACACCTTTAGCAAATTAAATTACTTTTCAACATGAGTGAAAGCGTAAAATCCATAGAACGAGAATTTCCCTATTTACTTCTCTCGAGTCTCCAGAATTTCGTCCATATCATAAATCCAAACAATTCTTCAGTACAAGAATGCTTGGACATCTTGAAATACATAACCAATGAACAGTCTTCACTTCAAGCATTTTATTTAAAGACATTCCGATCAATAGTTCTGTAGACTGAAAGAGCTGGATATTTAGACATCTGCTCACTGGCCTTGGACCATCCATCATTTTGCACGTGAATAATGAACCTGTCCAGTTGTTCTTTGAAGTAGGTAGGTATTTCTAGAATAATCGACGGATACATTACATATCTTTGAAGTTTATTGTCTTTCTTACGTGCGTGTTATTGGTACTCGTATTTCTTTTTAAATTAAAACTGCTTGCTTCCTGTGTTATTATAAAACGGCAACTTTTAAATATAAAGAAACCCCTAAGCTAAGATTACACTTAACGTCATTTTTGTTTTCATTAACCTATAAGTAACATCTAACTGTTCAAGTTAAGGGTTCTGGGTTAGTTCAGGTCAGGTGTTTCCTCACGTTAAGTAACTCTTAGATAAGAGATGGTTTACGGGTGGTCCGTTAACTGTTCTGTTGCCTAGTTGCTCTTTCAAGTTCAATAACTGTAGCTATTTCCAAGTCCTGTATATCGAAATCTGTTCAGTGCTTTCGTGGTATTAATGAACATAACAAACAAACATTCTCATTTAGTAATGATTTCTTAGTATACTGATAGACGTAAATGGTCCATTGTTTTAATAGTGAGCGCGTCATCTGTTCATGATTTTACGAATTCCATACTTCATTACCCGGATAAATTAAACTTTTACAGTTGAACGCAATCACAGATTGACTTTGTGTGTTAGTAGTACAGAAAGGAAGGAAAACATTTATTCATATGCAATTTGACAGAACAAACCGAGGATTAATAGATTTTCTACTCTACTACAAAAGGAAAAGATTAAAAATCCATTGAAGAAACATATGACTTTACTGATTTTTGTCCTATCAATGTCGCGGATGCCTACGAAGTTCAGCATGTGTGGAAGTGCAGCATAGGAAGCCCTAACCCACCCTTGACCATAACGAACACAATCCTAATTTCTAATACATATATCATTTCATTAATAAAATCCACGGAAACAGTCCCCTACACTGAATCTTCCAGTACGTTTGTACTGAGAGACCGGACATTGACCTCCGTCCTTAATATTACTATGCGACCCTGACATCTACATTTTGCTTGAAAATCGGTCACCGCGCATGCGGGTCGAGCTTCAGCTGGTCCTTTTCAGGTCAGATGTGACTATATTTAGTAGGTATTCGATGTAAATAACGTTACGATTGTTATTCTGTTTGAGGATAGGTTGAGACTGCCTCGATTGTTTAGTATTAGTAAGTGCAACTGCTGATTAAGGGTGTTAAATTTGTATTCCGAGTTTTACAAGTAATTGTTTGGGTTTTTCTTTTTTTATTATAGCCTATGCTATCACTTTTTTTATATTTGATGGGCCGACGTTTAACCACTATCTTGCCTGGTGGAAAACGATGATGCGGTCTACGATGGTGCACGTCGACCCAAAAGCAACCTATTTACTCGGGCCGTGAAAACATCCTGGTTATACCCTTCAGGAAACACAGACTCTAGCAAAGAATTCCACCCCTTAACAGACTTAACAGAGAGTAAACTCAATAGACTCAAACTCTATGGTTTGGAATTATAGCAGCGAAAGAGCCTGTAGGAATGACTAACTGGGCAACTAGACCAGAAACTCTTAATTTATTAAACGAAAGTTATCAGTCAGACAGTTTTCATGCAGATGCGTTGAAAATATACTCAGAATTATTTGTAGTAAATAACATTTAGAAAAACAAAAATCAACCCTCTCCTTTTTAAAAGTCTCAAACTCTATGGTTTGGAATTATGGTTGGCCTTATTTTTGTTTACTCCTTATTAATGGGATTCGTAGCACCTATGCCAGTCTGTTTGGAGAATAAACGAACAAAAGAATGTATGGATAGGCAGACATGTTTCTAAAAGAAGCCTAACGTAGAGTTGCAGACTTCGCGCTAATGGGTTTCACAATCGAAAACGTCAATAATGCTTTTCCCTGTTTGATCTATGACCTTAATTTTGGCCGTCACGCTCGGCATTAGAATTTTAGTACTTACAAGTTCTAAAATATTGTATCTACTTCAAATAAGGCCTTGTTATTTCACTTGCTGTTGGATGCCGTGTTTTACAATCGTTAAGTTGTAAGTAAAATTGGGTTTCGCTTACTTGTATTGAGTACCGGAATATTAACGTGTGTGTTAGCGTTATGTAAGCTTTTAAACTTATATAAAGGTGTTGCTGCCCTAGTCTTGTGGTAATAACCGAAACTTGAATACGGAAACTATATTTCTATATCCGGATTTTATATGTGATTGGATTGTGGCAATAAGTAAGTTATAAGATCATTTACATACAACGATCCTAGTCTACTATATAAAAATAAGTCGGGTTTTCCTTCCTGACGCTATAACTCCAGAACGCACGAACCGATTTCCACGGTTTTCATTCGTTGGAAAGGTCTTGGGCTCTGTGAGGTTTATAGCAAAGAAAATTTAGGAAAAAAAATTTCTTCATCTATTAATCACCAAACGAAATATTACATAAAACGAAGCCATCTGGTGGCGAAACGGAGTTCGCCGGTTTTGCTAGTAATTATTATAAATGCGAAAGTTTGTATGGTTACTTCTTCACGGGTTAATGGATCGGGACGGGATGTATGGCACAGCGGTAGATCATGGTCTGGAGTAACATATAGGCTACTTGTTATCCCCCGGTAAAGCAGCGGTAACCGCTGGCAGAGCTAGTAAAACCCAGACCCAAGTTTATTTCTTTCTCGCTTAAAGGTACGGATTTCTAGGTCTATCCAAATAAGTGCGGGAGAGCCATGCTTCGGCACGAATGAGCCGGCTCGACCGGAGTGATACCACGGCCTAACAGAAGACCGACGTAAAACGTCGCTTGCGTTGTGTTTCGTCGCGTGATTGACGTTACCGGAGGCCCAATTACCCCTCTCCCCCTTTTCCAATCCCTGAGTCCCCAAAAATCCTCAAATTCCTAATCCCAAAAGGCCTGTAACCCACTTGTAACCCCTCTGATGTTCCAGGTGTCCGTGGGCGACGCCGAATGCGTACCATCAGATGTTGCGTATGCCCGTTTACCGGTTTATCCCATAAAAAATAATAGTTTATTTTAAGATTAAATTGGTTATGAAACGTATTTATTAATATTGAATTACTTCCACAGGTTCTCACCAGCAGACCGCACAAAGAAGTTCGGTCAGCCAAACAGCCAGGAGTACGCAGCGAAGGTAGCTCGGTACCGCAAGTGGACCATCCAGTCGCTGTACAACCTGACCACCAAGTTCATCGTGGCCCTTAGAGAACATTGGCCCAACTTCCCGTCCACTATAGCGTGGATCGTCCAGCAGATCGTGCATCTACTTAAACAACATTCCAGGTTTGTACTTTGTGAATGAGAATTTCTCCTACATGTTAGTAAAGATTACTGTAAAAAAATCATATTTATTAACAGATAATGACGATATTAGAATATAAACAAACATTAAATTTTTTTTATAATATACTTAAAAAAATCGAATACATATTTAAAATAATAATATTTTATCACCAGAACATCAGACCGCGAGTTGCACGCGATATGCACGGACCTTATAATGAGCCACTTCATATGTCCCGCGATCGTGAACCCCGAGGCTCACGGCGTAGTGGAAGTACCAGTGTCGTACATCGCTCGCTTCAACCTCATACAGATCGCACAGATCATACAGATGCTGTGCTTAGCCAAGTTCCAGGAGGTATGTGAATTTTGTAATGAGTTGCGTTGCAGGTGTCGCTTGTGGAGCTTCACAACTACAGTAATAATATTGATTAATGCCTTTTTGTAACTATAAGTCGTACTTACTCGACACATGGGGTGTCAGAAGATCTCAAAGTTCGCTCTGAATCATAATCTCGAGAGTGCCAAGGACAAATAACTATCGCATTCGTAACGTAATAGCATCGAGCGCGTTCGGCGATCTGATTGGTTGGTTCACTAGAGCCGGCCAATCATCAGAGCGCCAAGCACGAATAAATAACGCATTCGTAACGTAATAGTATCTAGCGCGTTCGGCGCTTTGATTGGCCGGCTCAAGTGAACTAACCAATCAGAACGCACTCTGCTCTGCTTCCAGCGTGAGGTTAATTTTTTGGCTGTAATTCGTGGTACGAGTGACAGGGTTGATATCAAATGGTAAAACAACACTGTCATTGTTATAGGATACCTGCAGAATTAATTGTATAAGATCTAATTATTTCTTACTCAGGTGGATGCCAAAGTCCGTGACGTCTATTTGAAATTCGAGCGGTCATGTCTATGGACCCTGATAGACAACGTGACGAGCGAGGCGTGGTCGTGCGCGCCCACGCCCGCGCAGCCCCACGCGCACGCCGAGACCCCGCGCATCGCTACTGAAGCGCATCTACAAACCACTGTTGCGCTGTTTACGCCGCAGGATGCGCAACTACTGGTAATGAATAGTATAACCTACGTCATTTTTAAAATACGATCTCCTACTCGCCCGTAAACCAACCTTAACTTGCCTAAAATAGAGTTCAAAATAATTCGTTCTAACTATTTTCTCGTTTTATCAGATTACGTTCCTGAGGCGTATATCTTCGAAGCTGAACAACAACATGCCGAGCGTGACGTCGGATGAGCAACCTAGTGGAGCCGTCGCTGAGGCAGCGGCTCTAAGGTAACACAATAGGAATACTTTTGAAAGTAAACTAAAGAATTTACAAAATTTACAAGGAAGAGACAAAATATTGCGTAAAAATTTTATTGTGCCAACTGCGTAACTTTTTATCTTAGTTCTGGTATATCAGTGAAACGAGATCTTTGTTTTTTATGTTTGACGTTTTTTAATTGAATACATAAGCCCAAAATTACAATAATAAATAATCACTTTTTTAAATCCATCTAATAGGCACTTTTCTATTACGTACTTTGACCAGTTAGTTTTGAACAACGGTTCGAGTTACATGTTCTTAAAGCTCATTTCTTCTCCTCACAGCAGTGAAACTAGCAGTGAAAGTTCCAGCAACGGCGAGGCGTGTGCCAGTCGACTTGCGACCTTATTGCAGACCACCGAGCCTAACTACCGCAGCCGACTACATGACTTGCTGAAGAAGATGCCTGACCTCTCCAAGTATAGGTAAAGAATTGATAAAGAAGTCTATGGCAATATGATAAAGTTGTTATTAGCATGATGAGATACCGTACTATTTGTATTGGTGGTTATTGCGTTCGTTCGTGTTCCAAAACTTAGCATCCCAACAACTACAACCAATTTTGAAATCGAAAACGCTCGTACTACACAGTCACACTTTCAAACAGTCCACAAACGAAACACTCAAAACATTGAAAAACCAACTCTAAAATCACATAAATAAACTACAATTTCATACAGCAACACACATTTTCCAGGCCGACAACCCCACCGGAATGCAAAGACCCATCTCCAATAGAGAACGGTCATTCCAGTAAGAAGAGCATCCTAGCCAAAGTGCAGCGACCACGGCTCCCTCGCAGTGCCAGTTCCAACTCCTCGTTAGCTTCAGCTGGAGATGACAAGCCCGTCAATGGGACCTGCAAGGAGGATGGGACACAGGAACATGTCGAGGTGCTCATCATCAAGCTTGCTAATGTCGAGGAACAGGACTATATTGGTGAGTGAGGTCAGAGGAGTGATGTGTATTTGGTACCTAGGTACTTAGGTACTCTTGAAACCAATCTCAATGTTAATGCAATCTCAATCTAATAAAATCTCAATAATTATTCAATGTCAAAACTATACAACCCCATCGTAGCTCTTGAAATAACATTTAGAGTACGGAATATAAAGCCAAACTCAATACCATTTAGTTCATTAAATATCCAGGAAATACGGATACAAAAGCCGCTAGTATTGCAACTCAAGAGTTCGAAATTTCACAATACCAATGTCGGTACCTAAACCTTCTCCGTGTGCTCAGCAGTGGGGTTTATATGTAGTATTTATAGGATTTCATGATGATTAATGTCGATCGATCGGAATGGGGCTAACGTCTTTTTGCTAAATAGATGGAGCAAATGTAGGCAGTAGCGAAACTAGGTAATACCTTATTGAATGATAAACGACAGGTTCACACTAGAGCAAAAATATGATAGGCCCCATTGGATTCAAGAGTAAGCCCCCTGATGGTATGGTAGGTATTGTAATAAAATGAAAGAGAAGATAGGAACGCTTGTTTTACTGTCTATTATTTTTCTTTAAATAACTTTTCCTTTAAAGTGGCTTCAAATCTATTGCAAGAAGTTCGTTAACATCTGTTTCTCTCCTTTTTTTACACTTTCGGTATTTTGACTCGAAACGACAGATTAAACTTCGTGTATTTTACTTAGTACAAAGGAAGCTAGACGTGACAATCATCAATCACCAATGCTTAACCGCATCTACAAGCAATCTAGTAACTTGGAAAACTACTTTTTATACATTTTATAGGATCTTGTTTAGCCACCATCTAATTAACTCGTTGAGTACCGTCATTATAGACACAATTAAAGAACAATAGGTTGCGGTCACCGGTGACCGCTTGGTGTTTGACAGTTTAATTCAACTTAATTTAAACAGTTGTATTTACGAAGATGATATTTTTTTATTATGTCCAGGCCTAGTTCCAGAGTCGAAGGTTCTAGAATGTTACTACGGCGGCTCAGAGGCAGGTGATGCGGATGAAAATGGATCCGCTCTTGCTGTAGCGGGACCGAGCGCTCCCGTGCAGAAGAGGACCAGGTATGTGATTTTATACCGTACTAGCTGAGCCCACGACTTCTACTGCGTAGAATAGTGATTCACAGCTCCTCCCCAGTAGTTGATAGCATGATAATATGTAGCCTATATATTGACTCGACCTGTTAGTAATATTCATGCAAATTTTGAAATAAATTCATGCGGTACTTTTTGAGTTCATCCCAGACATACATACAGACAAACAGACAAGAATTCTAAAAACTATATTTTTGAATTTGGTGTCGACTGTAGATCACGCCAAAGGCATTCTTTTCAAAAAAATATTCGATGTACAGTTATAACTTTCCTACGATTTTATTATATTATGTATAGATGGTAATAAATTTGGGTGAATTTTACGATAGGTATTAGTATAGTATTTGTTTACCCTATGACGAGAACTGTGGAGATTTGGAAAGTGTGTTTGTTATAACTTAATTAATATATTTTCTGCCTAGGTTCTCAGTATCCCACGACGAAGTATCACTGGGTAACACGTCAGACAACTTGGAGGCAGTGTCAGAGGCCGCGTCCAACCACAGCGTCACCTCCAGCCTCGAGCTGGAGACCGAGGACCAGAACGACAACCTCTCTGATATGGTAAGCTATATTTTTATAATAAATATTAGAAGATATTCAATTAATTACACAACTGTTCGAAGAAAGACTGCCACGCTGGCTAAGTGGTCGCAAGTGCGACTGCCGGGCAAGGGGTCTCGGGTTCGATTCCCGGGTTGGGCAAAGTATTACTGGTTTTTTTTTTCAATTCTCAGTAGTAGCACAGAGTCTGGAATTGTGCCCGGTATGTGGCAATAGGCTCACACCCTATTTATTATATGAGACTCATAACTAGTGAAAAGTGGGCGTTACATTGTACAGTGGCATTAAATGCCGGGATATAAGGCGTGATGTTATCTGTAATGTGTGTTCGAAGAACTCGATTACTTTCAAGCACACTTGGAGCTCATAGTCTGTCTAATATGGAATTCATGCTCAATATCTTGTAACTATGGCCTTAAATTCAACAGTGTCTTCCTTTTTTTTTTGATCTCATAATTATGATGACAGGTATCAGCGAACGTATCAGGTCGCGGCAGCCCCAACATATCAGGGCGAGAGACTCCCTCGTCCCAGGTCACTGAGGGTCCCCCAGCCCAGCCCGCCCACCTGCACCACCCACACGCCAAGCTACTCAAGCAGACACGGCACGATATCGAGGACAAGTTCTGCAAGTTCGAGATTAAGGTACCATCCCTGCTCGCCTCCTATTGATCGTAGTGTGATGGTTTATGCCCTATGACGTTCCTTGATAAATAATAATGGACTATGCAACATAGAAAGAATTTTTCGATTCGAACTAGTTCTTCCGGATTTTAAACTGGACTTCCTATCCCCCATCTTTTTCTTTATAGACTGCCTTTGTTATATATAGTCAAGGGTTCTCGGGTTTGATTCCCGGGTCGGGCAAAGTATTTACTGGGTTTTTAAAAAATATATCAGTAGTAGCACGTAGTCGAAAATGGTGCCCGGTATATGACATTATGCTCGCCCATGGGACTCATAACATAAAAATGGGTGTTACATTGCGCAGTGGCATTAAGTGCCGCAATGCGCACCTCTGCCTTCGGGGATAAAAAGGCGTGAAGTTATGTTCTTTTATTTAGACGACATTTACTTAAAATAAATGTTTTGTGTAGAAGTTGCTGGAAGGCGACGAGACGATCAGTATAATGTCGGACACGTGGAGCACGGACGTCCTGGCGTCGGACTCGGAGACCATCGGGGACTCTTGTGACCAGACTCAGGTCGCTGCCAACCATTGTACGTACATAACTAAATTACTTTGTTGAATCTAATAGGAACTTTGCTCAGCTTTAAAAGATAAATTATATTTATTCAGTAAGTAACGATATTAATTTCTCGTCTATCAACTCGGTGAAGGAACACCGACCTAACTCGGGTGTAAACACAAACAACGCGCTCTTTAATTTCTCAATAAATCAAGAACAATGATTTAACTAAAAATCGCTGGTTACTAACGTAAATATACTGAGAAAAGCTCTACTAGATTCGAACCACAGAAGAGTTCCTCTTTAAAAGCGTACGCGGTCGCGGCGATGTTGCGCAGCCCGAGTAACACGCGATTTTTAGTTAATTTAGTTTATCTCACGATAGTAATTATAAAAACAAGAACAATGAAATATTGAGAATTAACCAGTCGCATATTATCTACACATTGTTCCACCAATCAGCTAGAGAATCGTCGACTACTTTAGTTCTTTCTTAAATCACTTAATTTCGGATATGATCCTTCAAGAGATATTCTAAGAAACACATATTACCTATTTGCAATATGTATTGGTTTGGTTGTCTTAGGTCAGAGCGGTTGCAACCAGAACGCCCCGGACGCGTCGGAAACTGCGAGCGAGTCTGCCTGGAGCATGGACGTACTCGCTTCAGACAGCGACCGGAATACTGAGGTAACATACAATATCTCTAGATCTCGACGCTACAATACAACTATCATCCTTACTAATATTATAAATCTAAAAGTGAGTTTGTTTGTTTGTTCCACCTTCACGCCGTAACTACTCAACCGATTGCTTTGAATTTTTGCAGACGTAAACTTAGAAGTCCGGATTAAACAATAGGGTACTTTTTAACGCGGGAAAAAAATGATATTTCCGAGGAAAAACAAAAGTATTGGTATAGATGGCGCTGTGTGTATTGGTATATGTCACATAGGCTACTTTTTATTCTTTTGTGACGCGAGCGAAGCCGCGGGTAAAAGCTAGTAAGACATAAGTTGAAATAATGCTTTACGAAATACTCTCGTAACTGTTTAATGAGGAATTTTGACTAGTTTTAAGCCTCTATGAGCCACGTTAGGGGCTTAAAATCAGTCGAGTTTTCTCGTATAAAGAGTGTAACAGGAGACCCGGCAAGCTAAACATCAAAACTTAGAATTGAGTGATTTCCTTAATCAAAAATAAATTGTTTCGACTGTTCAATACAATAAAATATTAATAAAATAATTAATTGATTGTATGATCAACTTAATTTTAGTATTTTTCCAGCAACTTTTGAAGAAATAAGTATTCTGTTTGACGCTAAAAAAACGTGTCGATAATACACAATCTCGTACAAAATTCATAGAAATCTGTCTGTTTTTGACAGTTCGAAAAAAATGTTGAATTTGACTAGTTGGTAAAAACCCAATTAAGCTTATTTCAGGTTATCTGTGAAACTTTTGTTTAACAATAAGGCTGCTTGAATAATTAATTAGATGAGTGTAAAGGTGTAATGTTCCGTAGGTGGACACGGACGACTGCGTGTCGGTGGCGGCCCGCTCCGACACGTCGTGGCCGCGCCGACCCTCGCAACAAGACGACGCGCCCTGCAGGACTTGTAACCATCAGGTGCGTACATACCATTACTATCTCGCTACAATAGGCTTAATTATATGAAACTCATAACTTACTGAACTAGTGAAAAGTGACTGGGTGTTTAGTTGTCAATTTTTTTTTTATGTGATAAGCCGGTAAACGAGCAGACGGATCACCTGTTCGTAAGCAATCGACATCGCCCATAGACACCTGGAACACCAGAGGCGTTACAAGTGCGTTACCAGCCTTTTGGGGATTAGAAGTTTGAGGATCGTTGGGGATTCATGGATTGGGGAGATTGGGGAAGGGGAGGGTGGAGGGGGAGTAATTGGGCCTCCGGTAGCCTCACTCACACGACAAAACACAACGCAAGCGTTGCTTCACGTCGGTTTTCTGTGTGGCCGTGGTATCACTCTAATCGAGCCGGCCCATTCGTGCCGAAGCATGGCTCTCCCACACTGATTACCATATTGTCCATAGTTGTAGGTATAATATTTAAAAAATTAAAATATACATCTGTTTCAGAACGGCAACGTGAAGCGGCCTGAAGTCAGCAGCCCTCGACATACGTCGCGGCCGAACTTAGCCAATAGGTAATTATGATAAATAAAAATGATATCTTCTAGTAGAAGATTACAGAAATACAAGCGCACTACAATAATGTCAATGTCAAAGAAAATAATGTCGTGGTGGCCCGGAGGTTTAAGACACTGGCTTCTCATGCATGAGAATGCGGGTTCGAAATAGGTTTAGGTAGGGTTTTCGTTGGTAGGCCAACGGCAAGAACCAATGTGACTTTTTCCGAGTTATATGTACTTTCTAAGATTATTTAGACACCACTGACAAACTGTGAAGGAAAACATCGTAAGGAATCCTGGGCTTATAATTTCTAATTATAAGTTTGTAATCGCCAACCCGCATTGAGCAAGCGTGATGATTAATGCTCAAACCTTCTCCGTGTGAGAAGAGGCTGTTGATGATGATGACAAGCGCAATACAGAGGTTGTGATTTTATGTTATGGTAATAATTCACGTTCATACTCAATAACTTAATTTTCGTATATAGTTGCACACCACTTTTATTCCATTTAAAACCAATAAAACATAGTTTCAACGGATACAGGTCGGGCGGGTACCTGACGGCGACGGCGGCGCTATCTCGCGGCGGGGAACTAGACCTGCCGCACGCACCGCCCTCGCACCACCAGTACAACATCGAGAACAGGAAGAGCATACTCGTCAATGGGTACCCGGTCAGTATTCAATAAATGTATATCACAAATAATAACTCACTGAAAATCGCTAGTAAAGAGTAAAAAGCGAAAAAGTTTTACACTAAATGTCTATAAATGCCTAACACAGTATTAAACTGTCAAAAACCGCGAGGACACTGGTGACCGCAACCTATTGTTCTTTAAATGTGTCTATAATGACGGTACTCAAAGGGTAAATTTAAGAATGAGCAAGATGTTCAAAACTCTGTGTCAGTGACTAGTTGAGTTGCTGTACCTTTGATAAAACCGAATACATTTTTATAAAATAATATGCTTGTTCAGTTACAATATTCATGTGTTGTACAGGTGATGACATGCTACGCGACGTCCGCCCCGGAGAGTCCGAGTACGAGTGCGCCGGTACCACTGCCCGGGGATGTATTCGACTACGTGCCGCAGAACAAGTCAGTACACATTCAGATTGTCTTCATTATATTGAAAAATAAACGGACCAATATTAGTTTTGTTGGGAAAGGCTAAAGATGGAGTATTCTTGATGTTTCAAAGTTATTTCTTTCTACAGCGGTGCCCAAACCGAGTCAACATTGGAAGCCAACAGTCAGTCAGATGCCACGAGCCAGTGGGTAGACGACAGTTTCCCCGCGCCCCACCACTCCCCCGACAGACCCTACCCCTCCACCTCCAAGTACGACCTCCCATCCACTTCCAAACCTTACGACGACAACGACATGATGGACCGATCACTTAACTCAAGCGAGAGCTCCTTCAATGCAATGTACGGCGGCCGATTCGATTCCGGTATCGATGCTGAGCGAGCGGAATCCGAATCAAGATCGACGATTACCGATTTGATGACTCGTATGAGTTCAGCGACAATATCTACGTCGGCGAACCTTGTGAATAATATCACGTCTAGGATTGTGAAGTCGGAGATTCGAACGAGTATTGTTAGCATTTCATCGTCCAAGATTGAGAAGAAACGGGAAGGGACCAGTAATATGTCGCTGAGTACGTTATCAGTGAACAGTGCGGAGACGTCTGCGTCGGACAAGAGCTCGAGCCAGGATGTGAACTCCGACATAGTGACGGAACGTCGCGTCAGTCCGCCGCCCACCAAGAACGTCTCCACTGGAGCCATACCTAAGAGCATCAGCTTCGATGCCACCGCTGAGAAGTCGCAGAGGTAAGAGAATTAAATAATAAAATATAACATCCCCGAGTTATATTTGAAGTGGAGTATATTCAAATTTTGACAAATGTCGAGGAAGTTCCTCGGTCGTTTATCTACACTATTATGACACACATAATGTCCTTTCATAATGTTTTTTCAATATAATTTTACATTGCTTCGTAGGAGACGTATGGGCGAGGACGGTCTAGCAGGCAACCTGGACGAGCTGAAGAACAACGTGAAGCGGTCCGGCGGTAACTTGCTGCACAAGATCAAGATGTTCCGCCAGAAGGGACGCTCACATACACATCATAACGGTGAGTAACTCTCTTCTAGGTAATTACAAAGTGTGCAAATTGGGGCAACTTTGCCACCACCGCGATATTGATTTTAAACTGTCAAACACCAAGCGGTCACCAGTGACCGCGACCTATTGTTCTTTAATTGTGTCTATAAAACCGGTACTCGACGAGTTAATTAAAGAATTTAATTTGCTTTTCTCATTCCTTTACCTGGCGTCAAAATAGAAATAATCTCTACCTGTGTAATCCACCACTATTCGACGATGATGACGCTCCTCATCTTAATAGTAATGTTTAAAATAATAAAATTGAAACAGATGCTGCAAACAGATTTTAATCTCGATACTAAAACCAAGAATTTCAGTTCCGACAATTTATTATGAATCAATAATAATTATCATTGTCGCTTACCACCAGGCGAGATAGTGGTCGAACGTCCAATCCGATCAAAAATATAAAAAAATATATAATAAATAAATTCATGCTAATCTCATTTCTTTCAAATAGACGTAAAACTGCCGGAGGAGGAGAACAGAAGTGACGACGGTAGCCGTCCGGAGCTGGCTGCAGGGGAGAGCTCGGAGGAGATCCTCGCCAAGTACCGCCGCAAGTGTTCCACCGAGTCTACTGGGTCCAAGCACAAGCGGTCCCAGCGACGTGTGTCTGATGTACCTGATGCTGAGCTGGATAGGTTAGTATAGTTATTTTAAATGTTTAGTGAACGTAGTTTAAGCACATAGCGTTTGCGCTATGTTGCGCAAACACAACACAACACAGCACAGCCTTTGGGCTGTGTTGTGTTTGCGCAACGGTTGCGCACTGACTGTTTTTGAGGTTAAACCTTAGAGAAATTTGTTTAAAGGTTAATAAGAAGAAATCATAGTTCAAGTGTTCATTTTGTTCTGGCAGCTTGTGCAATTCTCAGTCTCAATCAGAAATGACTAAAATAAAATGAACTAGTCAAAAACTTGTGCAAGTGCACTAGTGTAAAGCTAATCCTAAATACATTTCTTTTACAATTTCTATGCGCAATAGTTTTGCGCAAGTGTTAATATTGTTATTATTTATTACTAGGTGTGAAGGTGTGGTGGATCTGAATGACCCCGAGGTGTTTAACAGTATGAAGCGCAAGTTGCGCATCGTATTGTCAAACCCTGACCTACACTGCGTCGAGTTCGTGCCTAATGTAAGTTTCTTCTATGTAAATTGTATAGTCTTTGTCTTTATTGCTGAAAGTATTATTTTAAACCACATTATCAGACTGTAAAGTAAGGTTTGTCAATAGTTTTTTTACTAAGAACAAGAATCTACTTCTTTGGGTTAGTAAAACGCGTACAGATGTTATCGGATCAGGCTACGTCTTACAAACTGTGATCGGTCACAAAGGGGCGTCATTATTATTCCTACACTCCAATGGCATAGCGATCACAATAACGTGACAAATTCGCATAACTGTGATTTTCAACAAGGACTCGTTTGTTCAGCATTGAACTGTTTGCAACTGATGATGAAGATAGTGATCATGTAATGATCGATGTATGTATGAAAGTCATATTTTCGTGAGACATACTAAATTAATTATTATGTTTTTCGGCTAGCTCTAAACTAGTTGAGTTCCTCGTCACACGAAAAAGATATTAATTGGTCGATGTTTTGTATGTAGCGCTGCACGAGCACGTCGCTGGGTGGAGTGGGTGCGCGCGCTGGGCGCGGGGGCGGGCGCGGGCGCGGGCGCGGAGGCGGGCGCGGCGCACGCGGCCGAGCTGGCGCGCGCGCTGGCGCCGGCCGCCGGGCTGGGCGCGCGCCTGGCCGCCGCGCTGCGGGCCGACCTCGCGGCGCGCCGGCCCTACGCCGCCTACCTCGCCTCGTGTCGCGCGCATCTCGCGCATACTGACCATGCACTCGCCAGGTGTGTACTTATACAATATACACTGTAGTGTTTTGCTATTTCTAAAATATTGTACTTGTAGGGCAGGATTTATTTATTTCATTTAATAGTTATTTAATTCGCTCCTTAGCAATTATTTTCGTAATAAAATCGTTATTAAGGAAAAGTTTACGTAACCATTAAATGCCTTTGATTACGGCAGTTAGTTTTGCAACTACATACAAGTATAAAAATAAAGTAAGTAAAAAGATTGTACACAAAATATCGATAAATTATATGAAATGAGAACCGAATACTACTGGAGTGGATTTATTCCATATGTTTTGGTAAAGTAGATAGCAATCATAGACTGTCCAAACCATAATTGGGTGCTTGCCTTCTTAATCAAAAATAAATTATTTCGACTGTTGAATACTAGAAAATATTAAAAAATATTAAACTTTCAATAACTGATTTTATGACTAACTTAATTTTAGTACTTTTCCAGTCTTTTTGAGAAATAATAAGTATGATGTTTGATGCTAAAAAACTGAAAACTATCGTTTTTGACAGTTCGAAAAAAGTATTGAATTTGACTAGTATTCAATTACAACGTAACCCTATTTGTAGAACACGATTAGTAAGGCGTGTGTGTCGTCCACAGACAGATCAAGCAGTCCCGCGAGGAGTGGTGGTGGTGCGGGCGCGCGGCGGGCGCGGCGCGCGCGCTCGACCTGCTGGAGCGCGCGCCCGCGCTGCGCCGCCTCGCGCGGCACCACCACTACGCGCACGCGCACGCGCACGGTACGGGCTCCGCCACTATACACTACTATTCATACATTCACCAGTTCATTATTCAACTAACTCTTTGCCGAGATAAACCAAGCTCACAACGTTTCAAGCCATGCCTAGAACCTGCCGGGTCACTGAGCGACGATCGCTTCATCGGTTGTCGCGTTATGGTAAAAATTACAGACCCCGCACGTGGCTTGAAACTAGTTGAAGTACCCCATCAAACATTCACTTGAGTAAGCCAAATTAAACATGTCTTTCAATAAATGTCTACAAATAATGTAAACAAATTAACTTGTAATCTTTTTTCCCCAGAAACAAAAAGTTTCTCTAACATAACAATTTTTTTTAAGAACTTTATGATATATGTGTTAATATGTACAACAGGTGGTGAACTAATGGATGAGAAAGCAACAAGACTGACTGCCAGCATCAAGGCTATCACAGCCGAGGTGAAGGCAGACCCCTCCTGGGAAGGTAACATCACAAACATCACATATATTTTTCTCTTCTGACACTGTGTACTGACATGAACATAACTAAAATCGAATTCGTCAAACCAATACATGTATGTAAATTGCAAATGATTAAGATTTTAGCTTTCTGTAACATCTTTTTACTTAACCCGTCGAGCGTCCGCGTTCCTTATGATCCAACGGGTGCACACGTGACATTTGGAGAAAGAAAGAAAGAAAGAAAATGCATTTATTTGGCCATTGGTACACGAAAACAAGGATCATTACAATAGATATAAAAATACAGTTAAAATAAAAACAAAACATTAATAATAGATTTTATAAAAGAGAAAGCAGCATGGAGCATTTTTTCTTATGATCCACCGGGTGCTCATAAGGACGCTCGAGGGGTTAACTGTATTTATACTCCAATACGATACCAAATCAAGATATATAATCATTAATATAATATTCCGTATGTTATACAGGAGCGACTTCCACCCTCCTGGAGAGCGTGGAGCTGACAGTGGAGCGCGCCGCCTTCGCACGACTCTACCTGCATGTACTGTTCCCCAACGGAGACGGAGACATCGCGCGAGACCAGTCCGTATCTTATCTAAATAATAATTAACATAAAGCCACGTCTTATGTCCCCGAAGGGGTGTAGGCAGAGGTGCACATTACGGCACTTAATGCCACTGTACAATGTAACACCCACTTTTTACTGTTTATGTTTTGAGTCCCATGTAATAGGGGATGAGCCTATTGCCATATACCGGGCAATTCCAGACTCCGTGCTACTACTGAGTTTAAAAAACCCAATAATACTTTGTCCAAGTCGGGAATCGAACCCGAGACCCCTTGCCCTGCTGTCGCACTTGCGACTCGGCCAACGAGGCAGTCTCCTAGACTAATTTGACAAAAAACATTTGTATACAATGTTTATATACCAATATTTCGGTTAATCCACCTGTTACATGAATATGGTTATATTATATACAGGGTGTTATCGGAGCACATCCGCCGCGTGTCGTCGGTGACGTCGGCGCGCTCGGTGGGCATCGGCGCCGCGCACCGCTGGGCCGCGCCATACCCGCGCGCGCAGAGACATCTCAGGCATCTACCCGTGTACCGCACGCCGCGGGACAAGGTACTAACTGATCGAATATTTAAATAACACTAATCAACTTGTGTAACATCAAATAGTAAAGGGTGCAACTGTCCCTACTACTATTGAGAAATGGTACTTCTCATACAGGAAATATTCTCATACATAATTCTGTTAAACATTTTAGGGATAATAATTTATTTCTGATGGTGTTTTCTGTGTTAAGTGGCCTCTATGTAGAAAGAAAGAAAAACTTATTTGACAGAATATAGTAACAATAGATGTTTTATGTTAATTAATGTCTCATACATTTTATGGAATCGGTGTACAAATTAAATATTAGACTTATTTTTTATTTATAAATAACCCCATGTTTATAATAAACCTCGTTTAATACTAATAATTATAATATGTATTTGTGCTCAGCTGTCGTGTATAATGCGGTGCGTGACGTCAATAATGGCAGTGCTGGGACTCACTGAAGGCACCACGCCCTCCGCCGACGACCTCACACCCGTACTCGTCTACGTCATACTGAAGGTACAAACATATACTTAGACAATAATTATGTATTATTGTTTATTGACACAATTAACCTGTATGTTTTCTCTGAACAGACTTGAATACATTCACTGTTATAAACATCCAATTGTCCTTTCCCAGGTGAACCCACCATCATTGCTATCAACGATCGAGCTGGTGAACGCTCTGGGCGGCTCGGCCCTCCAGGGCGAAGCCCTATACTGGTGGACGCAGTTCTGCGCCGCCGTGGCCTACATCAAGACTATGGATTACCCGCGACCCGACAATAACGATACCTAGCCTTTACATACGCGCCTGGTGAGTACATACGTGATAATTTTATCAAAATTAATTATGTAAAAACATTACAATACAATAAAGCAGCTTTCATCCAGTCAAACTCAATTACATTTTCTGAAAACTTACAAACTCACACATTCAATACATCGACTGTACGGTGGGCGCGGTGGCTGGGTAACTGGTTGCCACGCAAAGTGTCGCGGGTTCGATTTCCACACGGAACAACTCTTTGTGTGATCCACAATCCACATATTATTGTTCCGGGTCTGAGTGTCATGTGTATGTGAACTTGTATGTTTGTACACGCACTCACGACACAGGAGAAAACCCTAGTGTGGGGCAATGTTTTTTTTTAAATATGGATATAAAAATGATAATTACCTAATTTTGTATGTCTGCTATTTTCTGTGAAATAGAAGTTATTTCTTTTTTAAGCTAAGGAGATACGAAAATGAAGTCGTAGCATCAAACCGATCATAGTAGACATGAAATTGTTTGTTTTTGAGTCAGGTTACTCACGTGAATATACTGAGAAAAACTCTAGTAGGCTGCGCGACATCGCCGCGACCGCACACGCTGCTCATGAAACCCCTCTGTAGTTCGAAACTAGTAGAGCTTTTCTCAGTATATTCACGTGAGTAACCCGCGATTTTTAGTTAATTTAGTATGTCTCACGATAGTTATTATAAAAACAATTCCACTTTGGCTTTGTAATGCAACTTTTTATATGTTCCAGATTTCAGCGCGTGTTCCAGATATAAAATTGGAAATCATTCGCCGCCGGCGGTGCCACACTGTTTGAGCAACGACTACATACTCAGTCATTGTACACATTGTATTATCTAGTACGGAATCATGTAATAATCATTGTTCAGTAGTAATCGAACATTTAGATTGTATTACGCGCAATTATATTCATATAGGGAAATCTGTGTTTATTAATTATATGGATTGTCTAATTAACGGCCGTTTTCGAGCATTTTTGAGTATTGAGAAGATTTTTTGTATGTGTATCAAGGTGTGTACTAAACGCTAATATTTTTCTTTAGTCTCTGTTTTTATCTTTTTATATACCTAGTCTACTACAGTCTGCATATTCATATCGTCTTTAGAATAAAAAATATATTGATCAAAGAAAACGGTCGTAACATCTTTGTATGTATAAAATCAAATAACAGCTTTGCTTCAAGTGTCTGGCATTCAAATATAAAACGTACACAAAGCACCGCTAATTAGTTGCAGCGCTACACATCGACACAACTGTCATTTACACAGTGTACATGTGTGCGTAATTTCATATAACTGTATATAAAAATATTCGTCCACCACGTTCACATTGGTATTTTCATTCTTGTGTCGGTATACGTATTTTTATAATTTAATGCATAGGTAAGGTTAAAACTATTTACAATCATTGATATGACCCGACATTTTCACTGTCATTATCGTAGTGCTCGTGGTCGATTGGTTAATGAGCACGCTTTTATCGTCTTTCAAGGATCAATGATGTGGGTTCTATTCCAGCTAAAAGTTAATTTTATTTTACCTTGTTATTTTTCTTAATTTTTTTTTTGTTTTTTGTCATAAAATATAAATATCAGGCTATAAAAGAAGCAAATGAGCTGGTAAATAAAACAATACTATTTTTTATTACAATTAATTTATTTATTATACAAATATGTTGTTTTATATTCAATATTTATATCTAATAATTAATTATATACCACATGTTAAGTTTAAAGTTCTTTAAATCATAATAATTAATAGATATGACAATAAACCTCATAGTCGAATCGGGAAATATCATGCGGTATAGCGGTAATACGATGGCAGCAACATTTTTTATTAAGTAATAAACAAATACAACATTCTTGTTTTGTAATTTAATAATACATTAAGTAATAAACAAGTAAAACATGTAAAAAATTACACTGTCAACATAATATTTCTTGAAATGGGCGACTTTTTGTCGTTTGAACTTCCATTAATTATCTATTTTACGACGGTTGTTATAAGGTTCAATATTCAGTGGGCTGTATGATAGTAAAAAGAATGTGACGAATGCTATGGAACGATTTTAACTTTCATGACCTTTAGAATCAGGGAAACTTTAAATTAATTGAAGATGGGCGTAAATATAATATGTCAATCAAGTTCGAAAGCAGTTAAATAAATTTGTTAATGAAAAATTAAAGTGAAGTGAATAAACATGTTGAATAGAAAGAAATTATGACAATTTCTAACCACAAAACAATAACATCACTTCACCGTATGTTCTAGACAGCATTTTAATATTCTTAAAAAAATTAAACATTATTTTATGTTAATTTTAATAAAGGCAGAGTTTGACAGGCTCAATAATTGATTCCGAAATCAATACAATCACTGATCCTACAAGGCAGAAGGTTGCAATTCGTATACCTTTCTCCATCTTTTCTTCACAATATTTTACGCCCATCCTTATCCGACTTGAAAGTCTTTTCGTCGCTCAATATGATTACACTGTTCGCCCAATCAAAATTAATAAAGTCCTTAGCAAATTCTTAGCGCTTTTGCTGGTGAACCACAGATAACAATATTTTCTTCTCTGGCTTCCTGCACCTTAAACCAGAATGCAGGTGTCTCCGTACAGTTTGTATTAAAACATTCAGTGCTGTCGCTGTAGTGCGGGTTGGCAGGAACGGATCAGCCATGTGCCTGGCTACGATGTCGTAGTGCCGAGCCGATGAATTTGCCTTTGGTTTAGGCCCACGTCGACGATGTTCAACGTCACCGGTCTCCGCATATCTGTGCACCCATAACTGCATGGATCTCCTCTGTTGATACCAAACAAATAAGTATTTAAAATACCAGGAAATACTTTACAGGAATTAAAGTTACTTAAAAATAATAATAAATATAAGTAAACACAATGTTAGAATAATAATTTATAATTAAGTAGTGGCGTAAGGAATAAAAATCCCTAACCAGATATGTTTTAAAGAAACACTCCTAACAAAAACAAGTCAAGTTACAATACAATTAATAATAAATTATTAATATATCTTTATAATATTGAACTTCATAATAAGTTGCAATAATTTTTTTATTCTAGTGCAAAAATTGATAGGTGTGACGAGTTACAAAATGAAATAAATATTATTTAGAATATCAACGTAGTATCTTATTTACTCACCGATATCATTAAACGCCTTGCTATTTCAGTTATTGTTAGTTATGTTTTGCTCATGCAAAACAATGGTTTCAGCCTTTTTAAATGTTGATAGGTGTTGGAACATCTTGTAAAAATAAAATAACTTTGCACACGAATATAAGTAGTGTAGCAATAAACTATGAAATCCTCATAAATTGACAACTAAGAACGCAATTATTTTGTAAGTCGGGTGATTTGAAAAACATGTTTTAAATAGTCGGTAGTTACTTCATAAGCGTGTAAAATAAAATGACTCGAGATTTCTATGGTCGCCACAAACATTGCAAATATACTCAGGTATCGAACCATTAAGAAATCACAGTTAATTACTTTTTTACTGTTTTTATCTTATTTAAGTTGGTTGAAATGCATGAAGCAAATGAGATTATTCTAAATAATAAATAACTAGAACTAAAATATAAATAAAAGATATTATAGGTATAAATAAATCTAAAGTATTTACTATTAAAATTAACATAAGATTTAGAACAATAGGAAAGGAAAAAAAAAGAAAAGATTTAATTGTTTCTAATTTCAAATTTCAAATATTTGATAAATTAATTCTAAAACAACATGTGAATGTTGGAATCGATCCGGCGGCACTTTACTTGACAATTGGAGGCGATAACCATTGCGCCAAGCGCGCTGTAGATGAGATCATCGAAATATTTTATATCATTCAGTAACATAAAATTACAATGAGAAAGCACTATATTTATATGGGTATTGTATAGCTCGATCGTTCATTATTTTTGATTTCGATTTATTCAAAGTTTGTTATGAGTAATTTTATCTTTACCCTCGTTTTTATTTAAACTTATTTACTAAATTATTGCGTATACCGACACAAAAATGATTTTTAAATACCAAGATGTGTGTGATAGACGAATGTTTCTATACATATCTATTGATATGAAATTACCCACACATGTATATTGTGTAAATGATAGTTGTGTCGATGTGTAGCGCCGCTAACTAATTAGCGGTGCTTTGTGTACCATAAATAATAAAAAAGGCAAATCATAGACATTCTAATGCATTTCATACATCATTTGTAAACCCTCGAATCATTGCATTTTAAGACATACATAAACAACGTAAACACCAATAATAAAATCATTTATAGAATTTAAAATAAAATGCTTCGAATCAATTCAATTTCAACTTTATTTACTAAAAATAGTGATGAAAATAGATAGTTTCCACCGTAAATGAGGTTATATATCTCAACAATGAAAACTCAATTTAAAAAAAACGAAGGGTTTGATCCAGTACTATGATAGTCGTAAGGGTAAATATTATGTATAATATCGTGTAGATGGTAGTGGTAAAGTGTGCACTCGCAACATGTGTTCAAAGTTCATGGCTTGTCCAGTGTGGCAGGTCCATACACCATACAAGAACTCAATGTATGGCGAACCGGGTTCAGTTTGATTTTCCAATTATATTTTCTATCATCCATAATGAAATTTAAAAATATATTAAGTAATTGTTGTTTTTTTTTCTCAAAAGACATATTGAACATAAATTATGTTATCTCACAAATTGGCCATACGTTTTGTTTGAAGTCAGATGGGCCTAACTCACGCGTTTAGATCGATTCTTTTATTTTATCGTTTAAGTAAATTGTTGTCGCAATTTTATATACAGTCTGTCTGAGAGTATTGTATGTAAAGTTGTGACATTATTTAAATACTTATTGTTTTAGTGTTGAGTTCCTGTTGTGTTGCTACTGTTGATATTGTTTCGGACGCTCTGGATATCTCCAGACGATTATAATCATAAAAACTAAAATGTTAATAATTTCAATAATATTTCGCAAATACTCCGGTCAGTATGCGTCTACGTAATATCACCTCTGGCAAGTGGCAACACACGGTCGTATATTAAAGTTTGTAATTATATTTTATTTCCATGTACCTGTTCACGACGGCAGTGTCTCTGCCGGCCCTCTAGCGCACTGTTACCTAGTACGACATCTCGATTGGTCTGTGATTTTAGAGTTGGATAATAAATACTCGAAAATGTGTATTTTTGAAATTGATTGTAGGTATCGAAAGGTGTGATAACTTGATAAGTAATAAAATGATTAATATCGAAAATAAGAGGCGATTTTAATAAAATAATTTATTGGAAGAAGTGTACATTTGATAGATTAGATATTGTGTAACTTAGTTAGGTTGAAGTAATGATATCGAGGCGGGTAAACTCGCCCGCGTAAGCTAGCAACCATTGTAATCATTGAATAAACCCCGTAATCAATTTCATCAACTCTCATTACTATTGTTGTAAGTTAAGTTTTATTCGTTGTCTAAGCACCGGTTTACTTCGCACCCCGATTTAAAAGACACTATTTTTGAACTAATCTAGTATATAACTGAATCTTATGTAACAGTAGTACCTATGTAATCGACTAGTTGGTCCGTGTACCAATTAAATATCCCAAGCTTCTTATGTACTGCCTGCTCTAAATATACATATATGTTGTCAACTAAGTTTTTCTTCTTAGTTTTAGTATGAAGACTTGAAATATTTTTAGACTTTGAATGTTTAGAGCTGGTGTTATGAAGAACTTTGAATTTTAGTAGCAAGTTATGAAGGTGCGTGAATGATTACTCGAATATTTAACAATAATACAAAAATACACACTACCTACATGTTTTTTGGTCATCAAACAATGAAATAGCATTGTAAAAAAGCTAGACTAATTATCATCTTTCACGCATCCTCGTAACTTGAGCACTTACTGTCCAAATAGCTTTCTAATCTCTTGCCTAGGTAGTCAGCAGACATTAGAATATTATGTACTAACCGCTGTAAGGCTACGTGTCATGTAAACATGTACCTAATGTAATCAGAGCAATGAAATTATATTTAGCAATAATAATCTTGTCTTTTATTTATTCTATAGGAACCCGTAGTTTTTTATTGACTGGCTTCTACTAACGTCTTCACCCATGTTACCCGGATATAAAGGAACCTGTTATCTATCTATACATATAATAAAACTGTAGAAGTGTTAATTCTGTACATTGCAAATATTTAAGAAAGAAATAGTATTTATTGGGTGTTACTAGATAGACACCGAACGCAAAATGAGATAAAAAAAATTGTCAGTCTGTCTTTATGTTCATGCATCACGTAAAAACTACCGGTTCGATTACGATGAAACGTGGTATTATTATACTTCAATATCCTGGGTACTATTAATCCCGAAAATGTACATATACGAAAAAACAAATTTAATTGTGCGGAGTAATCCCTAAGCACAGTTACTGTACCAACCGCAAATATAAGTTTGCCCACAGTGGACTTTACGCTGTAACTATTGGGACGAAGGTTGAAATTAGTTTGAACCGATATTATATATGATTAAATATGTGTTTGTTACTCAGTCACATCAAAACAGCGACCGGGATGAAATTTGGAACAGGTTATGGTCTTTTTTTCATCGAATGACTGCTCCCGCCTGGGTGAGGCGGGAGGGAAAGTCAGACTCTTATTGACTAAAAACCACCCCGTTCCTTCATCTGCACGTTGAGTCGGAGCCCCGGTTACCCGTTAGGTTCTCCGCGACTATATTATGGTCTGGAGTAACACATAGGCTACTTCTTACCCTTGTGAACGCGGGCGAAGCCGCTGGCTGAAGCTAGTTAAAATTAATACTTATCTCTACGAAGTTTCATCTAAATCTGTTCAGTAGTTTTTGCGTTAAACAAACTTTCACATTTCCTATTTATTATTTTTATTTAATTAAGTTACAGTACCTATTTTCCTACAAACAGCAGTTTTAGATTCAAAATCAAACGATAATAATTCTTGAAGGGACCCTAATATTTTATGTAAATGCAGACGTGAGCACGTCGTCTAGTTTTGGCAACGACATCCTGCAGGTTTCCCTAAAAGAGCACGTGTCCGCCTGCCTGGGCGAACCATGCGTTCAATGCAGATACGCGCATGCGTACTGAATATTATGAGTTGCAAGTTGGTAGGCATGCACATAACCAAAAATTGTTTTCTTATTGAATGTCTAGTTCTTTGTAGTAGTTAGGTAACGTAGCAGCATAATTACAATATTTTTGCATTAGGTAGGTAGGTTTTTGCAGTAGGCTAGATATCTGGCAAGTGAGTGGTTAACCACGTCGTTAGTAATAAAACGATTGTATAATACGTGATACATCTTCCCAGTGACAAATAAATCTCAACCCACGAAACAAAATATGTTTTGCGAATGTTCTTTCTAGTTGCTACGATGTTTACTAGGTATTTGATAAATCGCTCACTTTATCAGTCACGTCTGGTTTAGTTTTACCATGCTGCGCATATTTGACGTGTTCAGTACACGTGTATGTGTACACGTTTTTACAGAATTCACGAACTCGTTTGTTGAGAAAACATACTTTATATTGTCTATTTTATGCATGGCTTAAGTTTTTATAGTAAACACGGGATGAGTTATCTCCCACTCAACTAGCTAAAATTTCGAAGTGCTATGACGTCATTGGGTAATCAGTAATAAAAACACACATATGGGCGTACACAAATTTATTTATGCACTTGGATTTTCATATTTATGTACACTTATAAACAACACGAGCTTTGCAGCAGCAGGTCACTGAAACAAAAAGGAAATTGTTAGAATATGTTCTATTATCCACATACTGTTTAGTGCAAACAATCATATCAGTTAATATAGTATTACGTCATGGCATTCAGCAGTAGCAAATAAAAATAATTACATCATTTAGACATACCACGTGAATCGCGAAAAATGTTCATATTTTATTATGCAACTGCATGTAGGTAGACATGAACAATCAATTATGTAGAAATATCGAAAGTAGCCTGTAATATTTTTGTGTAGGAAAAGTAATAATTACCTTATCACAGTGTAAGTCGGGCTTACGAACGTGGCCTTTCCTTCTTCTCTTTGTACAAGGCGAGGAGGGAGACGTTGGCCACCTTCACAACCTGCACACAAAAAAACCAAATTCTTTAGCACATCGTATAAAATTAAATATAATACAAAGTTCCACAGAACCACTGTGTCAGTACAGCAAACTGCATCATGGCGGTCAGAGTAGCAAATACTCCACAAAATAAGCAAATCATCATGAGGATGACAATTGCCCCTTAGTGAAATTGCCAATAGTCCAATGGTTTTATACTACAAGATAACAACAAAAAATACCTTACAAAAATGAGTGCATCCAACAGAAATGCTGCTCTTATGTTTTATGCTCCTCGATACCGAGTATGTGTTTAGTATTCATTGTTTTTTCATTCAAAGAACCTACATGAAAACCACCAGATGCAGAATTGCTAAATTTTGTTGCCATTCAGTGAAACACTGATGCACTAAATTGATGTTGACACCACACCCAAACATTAAGATCCTGTAAATAAGCACATGGTCTTACCTTAAATCTGACTCCGGGAATGTCACCCACGGCGTGACCCTTACGACCGAATCCTGCTACTAGGACTTCGTCGTTCTCTTCAATGTGGTTTAGACAACCGTCCCGCGGCACGAAAGCTGTTACTTTCTTGCCGTTTTTGATCAGCTGGACACGCACACACTTGCGGATGGCAGAGTTAGGCTGCTTGGCTTCAACACCACTGCAGAAAGAAAAAAAGTAATCAATAGTTTGACACTTAAACCAACATGGCATACACCATGTGCACCATTGTGCTACACTACACAATGCATTTATGATGCTTTAACGGTTCTCAGTTAGCATTGTAGTTTGTATTGTGCAGTTTTCAATCACATGCATAGAATATTCATGTGTAACAGCTAGTAGTCAGCCAGCTGAGTAAAATTATCACAATTTTTAAAACTAACAGATTGTAGATGAATACAACTGAAAGGTTAGATCTCAAACATTATAGTTTACTAGTTACTGTATTTACATTTATAAGTGAATAACTGCTTTGAGACTTCATAAAGTGAACTGCATACACATAGACATAATGCCAAACTTGAAAAATCAATAAATGCGCCTCACACCCGTAAAGTAACGGCGCAAGAGAGTAAACACCATGCCTATACATGTGTATAACCTCATTCATAGTTCAATGACCCATGTGGTATTTACACATCTCATGTTTCATGCATTTTGTTTTAATAACAGCACTTTAGCGGTAAAATACTGCAAGGAGAGTAACAAGTTAGAAAGTTTCTTCAATTTGCATTTAAAATCAGGCGAAAACAACTGGGTGCTTCTTACCACGTTAGGCACAAGAATCTGTAGATAGTTTCAATGCATTCTTCTTGAGCAAAGTTCTTGTGGCTTCTTCTGAGTTGTAGACACCGCCACTCGCAGTATTATCCTGTGATTGTAGTAGGAACACATTCACAAGTATAATACTGCGTGCGGAAGCGTCGTCATCCAATCGCCGCGTCCATCTTCGTGACTTCATTAATCAAACATGCAACAGTCCGCTAACTTCGGCAAGTAGTTGAGCATTCATGACACAAACAACTATCGACTTACCACAATCAGGCTAGTACAGTTAGAAAGACGTACTTACACTTTCTCCAGGACGATGCCCTTAGCGTGAGATGCACCACCGAAGGGATTGGCCTTCCACCTCGTACCCATGTGGGCTTTCTTGTAATCTTTATCAGCCCATCGCTGCTCTCGGCGATGGTTTACGTGCTTTCGCGCCGTGCGAATACCACGGGGCTTGCCTGGAATATTGACGGAGCCGGTTATCACTTGTGTTTACGACGTACGACACAGAAATCGATACACCATGGTTTTAACTAGGCAGCGTGAAGAGGAAAACTATTATTGCACCTTCTAATTAACGCGGTAATAGAAGGATGGAAATGGATTAGTTTAACACCACGAGAAAAACATGTCTGCGCCATGGCCGACACCTATGCGTGCACGTATAAGTTTTAAATTTTTCGGGGTATAATATTTGGAATATTCACTCCTACATAGCATGCGTATTTAATACACTTATACACATAATCTTTAAACAAAAATAATAAATAAACCATAACAAAAACTGCACAAACTATTCCTTACCCATTTGGATAGCACGACACCAATCGGCTACGGATGGGAAAAGAAATTATCAAGCCACTGACCAACCGCTGGCTTCAAGTTATCACTATAGCCAACATCATAACACAAATTTAGAGTTGCCATTAGTCAAAAAATTCTGAAATAGTTTTATTACATTAAAAAAAAGTTAAATAAATATTAGTTAAATAACTATAACTAAAATAATACAATAATAAAACAATTTTTAATTTCGAAATAATTTAAAATTAATATTTGGGCATAAGCAAAAATAAGTCCCTACATTTCCAAATCATTCATTCATGCGCTCTCAAAATCTGTAGTCTATGGAAATATTAATACGCTGTGCTTCTTGCATTGCGCTTGCGAGCGAGACTTGTTGTCACTTGTCAGAAATTGATTGTCAGTTTTTAAGAGTACCAGTTTACCTGCATCATTTCATTATTTTTCTAGAAACTAAAGATTGTTAGCGTGTTTATCAGTTTCATAATTATATAAATCCAGCACTATGACATTAAACTTGGGAAGAAAGGACGGCGGTCCCGGATACGTCGGTATACAGTTCTGCCAAGAGTGTAACAACATGTTATATCCACGCGAAGACAAAAACAACAAAGTTTTGTTGTATGCCTGTAGAAACTGCGACTACAAACAACTGGCGGACTCAAACTGTGTGTACGTGAACAAAATTATGCACGAAGTAGACGAATTAACCCATATAAACCCAGATGTGGTGAGTGATCCTACTTTGCCTCGAACGAAGGATCATATGTGCCCGAATTGCAACCACAGAGAGGCGGTGTTCTTTCAGGGACAAACTCGACGCGCTGAAGAAGAGATGAGACTATACTATGTGTGCACTAGTTGTAAGCACAGGTGGACTGAGTGAATGTTCTTTATTATAAGATTAAGTTTTAAGATCAATAAACATATTATTTAAAGTTATTTGTTTTATTGTGGCTACATAGAAATATAGCACCGGTAATAATATTCATATCAAATATTAAAACTATTAACGTTCTTGTAGCCAGATCCACAAACATGTTGCATATGTCATCAGAAGTTAAATCAGAATTTATACATTCATGGATTTTTTCTAGAATTTTCTTCATTCCATGGAACAAGCAGTCACATTATTTCCTCCAACTTTTTGCTTTGTAAATAGTGCTTATTCAGTGCTTAAAAAGTTAACCCATGGTTTGGCTGCACATATAATACCTATCTGATCTACATAAGTAAATGAAAGAACACATAATTTTGAACACTTTATTAACTAAAAATATTGCCAAGCAAATCTGTTCTATACAACAGTTAACAATTCACAGCCTTTTATCAATAAACATTGAGTTTCTACTCAAATTAATTCAATACTTAACATTTTTATTAAACCATCTTATTACTACAACATAATTGTTTCAAATATATTCTTTTTAACATAAATACGATTTTATTTTCATATGCCATTACTAAACACAACTTTATTAGAATTAGTTAAAAATTGGAATTCAAATATTTTGTAGACCAGTTTTGCTGCAACATGTCCAATAAGAATATATTGTTTAAAATTAGAAGGGAAAAGTAGAGAAGTGCTTTTTGCACTAATTTGGCACAGTAGTGTTGGTGCTTCGAACTTAACTGAAAAATTGCAAGTAATTATTACATCAGAGAAACTAAATTGACAATAATTTAAACAAACTAGAATATTATCTAAATCTATGTACGTAAATACTACTTTAAAATCTACTAGATGTAAAAACAGCCTCCCTATTTCGAAAAGTCAAGGTAATTAGTACATAGAAGCCCAGTTAGATTTTCTAATTTACATCAACAAACATAACTAGCATAGGCCTAGTGTAAAGTTGTGCCCTATAAGCATGTGCAGTAAAGTTCAAAGTCTAAAATCAAGCTCAAACTAGTTATGGGTAGATAATTAGGTTTTGGTAAAAGTTCGAAATGGTTTCTACAGACTAGAGAAGGTAAATAGAAAGGACAGCATTAGTTACAGGAAGTTCTAAATTAAAATTATTTAATGTATTTTTTTTACATTTATGTATGCTTGATGGCCACATTTTTTTTATATATGGCAACTGCATCAGTTGATTTATTTCACATGGAATGTATTATTCATTAAAATTTTACTATACTTAAATAATAACATGAATAAACAATCAACCTTTTAGGCTCACTAAATCTAAATACAAAATATTTTCTCTCGAGTGCTTACAATTAGGTTCATACAATTAATAATAATAATTTTCATACAACCCTGCAGCTCTTTCAGAACAGCAATCGAGTTTTAATTTAATTTTTCATTTGCGCTATGAGTAAAGGTAAAATCAACACATGTCGACGAGTAATAATTGACATGTTAACTTGATTGACCAGGATTACATTTTATGTCTTATGACGAATTTAGAATAAAAATGAGATTGTTCAGTTGAATCAAAAGCTATGTAACCTTCTGATTCATTATTAAACTACAAACTTAGAAATAAACGGTGTCACAATCTGGAAGCTCAACTCTTCATAATTTAGGCTAGCTAGATTTGCTTTACATTTTAATATTGGAAAAATATTTCTATAGATTAAATAGATGCAACTCCCTAAAACTTAACAAGTGAAATTTAAATTTATTCACAAACATTTAGAAGACTTTTTAATTAGAAATTTAAGTAGATATTGTATGTTGCGTTATTAAAGATAGCGTAGCGCCATCTTCACTGTAAAGTGTTAAGTGTAAGTGACGTAGATTCTGAGGGTAGCGCCACCAGTAACTAAAAAATGTTTTTAATCAGTATTCACAAACGTACAATTTTAATAAAATACCTAAAAATCTAAAAGTGTAAGTAAGACTGATCTCTTTCATCTCTAAAGAGGGATTTCAGAAAACATATTTTATTGTGTCACGTGCTTTATTTGGTACACGTGGTGTTTAGTTTGTGTTTTCAATTAAATTTATAGAGGATAAGTCATCTGTAGGTATAAGATTTTAAATTTATTTGTAATATTAAATTAGAGCAACGTTACAAGTTCTTTGGGTGTAGGTAGTATTGGTTGAAATATCAACCTTTTTTCGTCTTAATGTTATTTTAAAACTAATTTATTAGGTAACTGCAACATGGGGTCTGATTCTAAAGGCCCAAGAGTCTAAACCTACGATAATAAATCAATATTAACAAAATCATTTCTTCTGTATGACGAAATTACATAATTTTATGAGTAGGTAACCTAAAGTTTAAATGTTGTTCCTAGCTATTTAGTAATTTACGTTCTCATGTAGCTAACCATTACCTAACTAAACTTGTGGTATTTCTCGCGTAAACTTACCTAGTTATAACTACTAACTTGTAGGCATGTGCGTATTACTGTTATTGCTTCTAAGTTCTAATAAACTTTATCAAATTCAAGCTCGGGCAAAACAACCATTTTTCTATAGTATAAAGACAAGCTTGGAAGATAAATAGTTTCTTATAGTTAGAGAATGTAGGCACACCAATGACAACTATTGCTGACGCGTTGAAACGGTCCCAGTGTCTTGGTGTGAAGAAATTTTATGATCACACGAGTCCTTCTTATGACTCCTTTTATTTTGAGTACCCGTAATAAACTCAGATCATTGGTTAGGTCTCAAAATGTTGATATTTTTAATTGCTATTGGTGACGATGCGTTCATTTGAAATTCTAGCGAGTGATCATAATGAGAGTAGAGTAGATTGTATTATTTATCTATGCAAGAAGCGTGAAAGACGAAATAGCTGTGTTTAAATCAATCGATTAACATATTGATTTAAAATCTGCCTATAACGCAAGAAAGATGGCGCTGTTTAAAAAAATGTATGAGTAAATTAAATTAATGAGAAAATATTAAAATTCTAAGCTACCTGATTATTTGTTGGCATGTAATATTTACTATAGTTGTTTCGAAAACTAATTACTTTGCTGTATGTAGATTTGTTTTGACACCTTAATGTGTTAATTACAATAATTTATTTGTTTGCTAAGCGGACGGCGGCGTGATTCGAAGACGGATTATTTGGTGCTTCGGTGTCGATGATTATTGAATATCTAGCGGTATGATAACAATAAGTTATGATCATCTTGTTCAGCGGAATCTTGGAATTAGGTCACGACTTCTAAATGCATAACGATGTCGGTCTCGTAACTTGAGGTTCGAACATATTCGGACGACGATCCTCAATTTTAAAAAATTCCATAACAACAAATTTAAAAATTCGGTTACAAAAACCGTTATAACAATGAATTTTTAAAGTTCTCTCTCATTATGTCTTTGGGTTTCGTTCTAAGACAACACAACCAATTCGCACAAAAATCTCTATGTTTTCCTTAGTGTAGGAACGTGGCGTCAATCTTAAGCCTTCTGCCACGTATGGAGAGCCTTCGTCAGTGTTGTGGGGGGGTTGGTATGTCTGGGAAGTTCTCAGGTAGAGGGGGGAGGACGTTCGCCTCGAACTGTCCTGACAAGTTGCCTGGCGGGGAGTAGTTGGCCACTACTATCACTTTACCGTCTCGGGATCGAGCTTTCCCGACGCCAAAGAACGTCGTGGCTACCCAAACCATTTGCGTGAAGTGGCCTGAAACATCGAAATAATGAATTATAATAAAGATGTAAAATAATAGAAACACGATAATTAAAAAAACAACGCTTTAAATGTGTATTAACGATACCAAATAATAATTTAGTTGATACAATTTGTACTTTGCCGCTACTCGACAATAGATGGCGTTGAATGAGTATTTTGATATTTTTTCTTTTTTGGTATTCACCAATAGATAGCACTGCATGGAGATTTGAAATATTTTATCGAATAATTGATAATTAATATAATCACAAAATCTTAAAATTAAGAAATACTGTACCTATTTTAAAACATCAAATTAAACTCAAATTGTCAAATTATAAGTACCGTGTGCTTAATAAAATATTATAGTTGCAGCAATAAAAATATTAAAATGTGCGGAATATTATGTACCTGCGTTAACATTAGCGTGGAGGACATCAGGCTCTTTGAAATAGCTGTACTGGCGCACTGCGGCGTACCAGTACGAAGACACTTCTTGACCTGCAGAGCCGAGCATACAATGTAATGCAGAGACATATAAGTAAATCTATTTTTAATTCTATTTTGTATAAAAAACACCCACTTTGTTATAGAAAATAGTTATCATGCCTATTGTTGGGTAACTGTTAGGGAATACACAATGCGTAAATGCATACCAAGCGAAACGAATAATTTAATCATTATGATAAACAAAGGTTGGTTTAAGTATCTATTTTATTTTTCTTTTAAATTTGATGGTGGTAAGCGATGTTGCGGTCTACGATGGAACACGTCGTCCCATAAGCAACCTATTCACTCGGGCCTTGAAGACACCCAAGTTATACCCTCCAGGAAATACAGACTCCGGCGAAGATTATCTCATATATTAAAATCAAAAAATGTTTAATGGTGCACTGCGGTTATGTACCTGTGACATCTGGTTGGAGAGCGCTGACGGGGCGCTGGTACAAGTTCTGACCGACATCACGATCATTTCTGTAGTGGAACTTGTTAGTGTGCGCCAGATGATTCGCCCACGCCTGTGCGTAGTCGCATAGCTGCAAAAATTAACGTCGTGCATATATTGAGATCGTATTTTTATCTATCTCTTTAAATCTATGGCAACTTGGAAAGACCATTCCTTGGTGGGCAAAACCATTTAAAATATTGCGCTCCATCTAATGACATTGACTCCACGGTTGGCGTGGTAACTGGGCACCTGGCTGCTGCGCAACGTCGAGCGGGTTAGGTTCCCGTCAGAAAACTCTTACTTAGTGTCATGTGTGAGTTTGTTAAACATACCCGGTCGTAGTAGAAAATCTTAGTGAAAGGCAACATTATTTTATTATTATTAACCCTTTGAGTACCGTCATTAAGAACAATAAGTTGCGGTCACAGGTGTCCTCGCGGTGTTTTACAGTTTAAAAAACTATTACCCTTTACCTTAATTCTCAAGTCGTTAATTCGTTCTTCAGTTTACATCTAACTTTCTAAACGCTTAGCAAAGTGTGTGAATGGATCCCAAAGGTAACTTTCATTTTGGCGCCCACCGTGGGACCAACAACGTCGACGATAATGGCGAATATTTTAATGTAAGAGCAACATATGTCAGGATAATCACCTCTGGTGCCATGTAGAGCTGTGGCGCGCCGTGTCTCTGGCGGTAGACGTTGTGCCAGCACAGACACTCGGTTATGAAGTCACTGTCCTGCCAGGCAGTGCGGACCTCGCTCCACTGAACCACCATGCTCACTGGCTTGGATTGAAGCACCTGCAACGTATATAATGCAAACGTCTTCAGTTACAAACGTTCGCTATTTAAACATTGTTGGTTTTTGTCTTTATAATGTCATCAGATCATTGTTTAAGAATCATGGGTTCTTGTCAGGATGTTTTTTTTCATCATGTGAACACCTATTATGGTAAGTCTATAATAAAACTTACAGATCGTCGAATTTATCTGAATTGTAATGAACATCGTTTTAATACAAAAGCAAGAAGTACGTCAAAGTCAATCCATTACAATTTACAACAGGGTCTCAAATCCCCTTTTTCTCAGCGATATTTTTGGGTTTGAGCCAAATGAATTGGAGGACCGCTCCCAAATAGGATTTATGTGAAATATGGCGCACATGTAGGTACCTATACCTATAGTATATACGAAAGTAATGCAACACACGAGGTGCTTGAATTTCTACGGTCTACCTAAGTGAATGCGGTGATGCGATATTTTCGGGTCACCTATTTTATATTTTGCTTTACTTCGAATAGGTACCGCTTTTAACGCTGGTAGTGGTGGTAACAGAACTATATCATATTCAAAAATTCACTTTAATTTTTTTAAGAACAATCGAACTTGGCTAGTACTGTAAAATCGATAAAATAATGTAAGACAATACTATATACATTGCCAAAAAATATTACGTGAAAATTCGATCCTTATAATCATGAATCATGATTCAATCTCCATAATTCTGAATTTTACAAGAAATAAAATATGATACGCAGCCGTTACAGGTAGAATAATGGGACGAACATTGTTATAATGGCTCATCAATCAAATGAAGCACCGGGTGTTCCTCCACAGTCTGAGGTAGGCAGTTGGGTAACTATTTTGAATAATAAATACCTTCTCGTCTTTCCAACATATTTTTAAAATGGTTTATAGGTGCCTTCAGTGCCGTAACTAGCCTTCTAGGCGCCCGGTGCGAGCTTTCAAAACTGCGCCCTTGAAAAATGTCCTTACCAGGCTCTGACAATAAAATGGACAAATGTGCATGAAAATATAACTGTTTATTGTTTACCAAGTTATAGGTCGGTACTTAGTAGATGTTTTAAGACAATTCGTTGCTGCCATTCCGCCATGAGATCGCGCCGGAGCTCTTCCCCCCCAAGCAGTTATCTAACCTCATTGTCAATGTCGGCAGGCCAGCCTGGTGGTATCACCCAGGCCTGCACGATAGCGGCTTCCAGGAGCAGTTCCCGATCCAGCTGTTTCAGCGCCCAACGCAGGCCACATGGGGCCTGTCTGACCGGCGGGTCCGCGGACTCGGCGGAGACGTCGAACCGGATATACCGGTGGTCGGAGTACGTCTCCACCTCCTCCATGACCCGCCAGTCAACGATACGCGGTGACAGAGCAGGGCTGGCGAACGAAATGTCCACCACCGACTCGCCCTGCATCCGCACGCACGTGGGGACAGAACCCCGGTTCAGGATGACTAGGCCTGCCTCAAGGGCCCAGTCTTCCACCATCCTACCCCGGACGTCGGTGAACCGGGAACCCCAAGCCAAGTTCTTGGCATTGAAGTCCCCGAGGACGAGCACGGGGAGGGAATAGAACCCAACGACGACGGTGACCAACTGCCTCAAGGAGTTGTGGAATTCGGCGAGAGTTCGGTTTGGAGAGAAGTACACGCCAACCACAGCGAGCTTTCCGAACCGTGCTGCGACATAATCCCGGCCTCTTTGAGCAGCCTCAAGAGTCGGAGTACCGGCGGCGGCCGACGAGATGATGGTCACCGAGCCGTCCAGGTCCGCCACCCAGTGCTCCCTGGGCGGGACAAAGTACGGCTCGGAGACCACGGCGACGTTTATGGACCACTGCGCCATGCTCTGGAGCAGGAGATCCTGAGCAGCGGCGCAGTGGTTGATGTTCGCCTGGAGGAGGCGGAATGGAGCCATTATTAACAGTCCATCCCGACCTCCTCAGTAGCGGCAGCAGTGACTGCGGCGGCAGTGGCGGCGGCGGCAGTGGGTTTGGCAGGAGGGAGCAGCCCTTACTCGCGACCCGGTGATTGGGCAGCTTGCCAGCCTCCGCACATGCGTTGCAGTGCAGCGGGGCGGTGCACGAGCCGGTCTTGCTACCGGGCCGACCGCAGCGGAAATAACAGTCGCTGTGGTCCACCTTCGAGGTGCATTTGGCGCTCACGTGCATCCCCCACGTGACAGCGGTAGCACCTCAGAGGCCGAGTCTCGAGCAGCTTGACCTGCGCCGAGGCCAAGAGCCTTTTGCCCTCCTTTAGCTTTTTGGCCGCTGTGACGGGGCAGCTGACCACAAACGTGCGCAGCCCCGAGTTGTCTGAACGGATGGCGCCTGCCTTGATTTGGTCAGCAGGGCACCCTCCCGTCCTGGCCACAGCCGCCACCACCTCTTGCTCCGTTACGGAGTCGTCCAGGCTCAAAATTCTGACATCCAGGCATTTGGTGGGCCTCGTCCACACCGAGGCACGCCCTAAGCCTCTCAGCCAGGTTGTCGGCCGATGGGCCACTGGCCGCGCCGGGACCCTCCAGAAGACGGACTCCGGTAGCGGTCACCTTGACCGCAAACCCGTCTGGGGCCCCAAACTCCGCAGGAGTTACCGCCCCCTCGAGCTTGGCGACGACGTCGCCATAGGTAACATCCCTATTGACCGCCTCGAGCTGTGTAATTACTACAGCCGCGGTCCTAGGGGCGAGGAGCAAGGCAGCAGCAGCGCGTTTCTCCCTGCGCTGCTGCTGCCGTCGCTGCCGCTGCGCCTTCTTGCGGCGCTTACGGCCCTCCTTGGCGACTCTCCTCGCCTCACCAGCCACCCACCGCCGTCCTCCGCTCGCGGGGCTGGTTCCACCGCCGCTGTTGCAATTCCAGCCTGCCGGGATAGAGTGGCTCTCCTTTTTTGTTTCGTTTCGCGGCCGCAGACGCCGCGAACATAGACGCCGCGCATCCGGCGGTCGGGGGCGCCGACGCCCAAAGTTATAGTAGGTTAGGTAGGTACTTTTGTTTGTGTATGTAATATTGAGAGCAAGACTTAAAGTGGATATACATCTGTCTGTGTAGTGAATCGTTTGAAATGTGTTGTTGATTCAAGATCGTTTAAAAATGCGATACAAATTTAGATAGTACAGTCTGGTCATTTCTGCGCCCCTCCAGGGTCTGCGCCCTGTGCCTGGGCACCGCTGGCACCGCCCTATTTACGGCGCTGGGTGCCTTAGTGTACCTAGTGTTCCTATACTTACAATTTTACTAGTTAATAGATAGTAAACAACTTATTCTCTGCAATACGGAAAAGACAATACCGATTGTAAAAAAAAATATACAGAAATAAAATTACGTAACTAGTATCACTTTATATTTTTTTTAAAGATTTCTTTATTAATGACTCCTTCAGTGACAGATCTTATTGTTATTATTTTTTAATGGGATAAGCCGGTAAACGAGCAGACGGATCACCTGATATAAGCAATCGGCGTCGCCAATGGACACCTGGAAACCCAGAGACCATTACAAGTGCGTTACCAGCCTTTTGGAGATTAGGAATTTAATGATTGTTGGGTATTCAGGGATCATTGTGAGTTAACTTACAAGTTGCCTAACTTCCATTCAAACCATTAAAATCAGTTTAAATTTGAGTCTAAACTACCAAATATTTAGGTCTGCCTTGCATAAGCCTATTACGTTTTGGCTTATTCGATGTTATGTACTTAGTTATAACGAATTCAGTCATAAATATGTCACCTAAATATTTAATTACAATATTTCGTGTGGAATATTAAACGTTCTAAATGTCGTCTTATTGTGTGGGCGTCATCACTCAATCTAATGCAAATATGCAGCTTAAAATAAGTCGACCCCGAGTGGGTTGTAGCACGCGATTGGTGCAGGTAACAAAACGCTTAATTTCATTTTAATTGGCGCCATTTTTTTCGCTATGTTGGTAGTGTTGGTACACTGTTGCAGGTAAAGTTCAAAGTGTATTTTAATGAGGCACTCGTTTCGTATTACTTCAGTGAATTGGCCAGATTAAAATATTCTCTGGGGAAAAACTGTGCGATTTAATTTTATTCAGTTTGTATGAACATTGTACCTAGCTGTGCATTTTAATTAATTTAACATTTCGTTTGTAATTCAGATGGTTTAGGTAATGAAATAGTTAGCAATAGCGCTTAGCTACATTTTTGAACCCACAAAATGATGTTATCTTTTTGTTAAATAAAAAAAAAATGCAATTTGAATATAGAATGAAAAGCAAACACTTCTAAAATATTGTTGGTTATTACCTTCTTTCTTCAATTACTTAGGTATCGTTCAGAAACTTGTTAATTAATTTAAGAAGATCGTTGCAAAGTTTTTCACTGGTTACGTCAGCACTACCTATTAATAAAGGGTGTTGATAAAATGAAACTTCATCTCAACAGTATCGTGGTTTCATTATAAAAGTTGATAAAAGTCGGGGACTTTGTGGATGGGCGAGGTCGAGCGGCTCTCCGACTTCTGGCTGAAGCCACAAGGGGGGGCAAACTCTTTAAGACGAGTGGCCGCAGTTCTCATTACTCTAAAAGCTTGGAGTCTCCCGCGACCCAGGCACAAGTCACAACTTCAGGCGTATCGTATAACAAATATCCACATTTATTTTATTTACAGTTCTAACATATTTTCCACTGCTAGATTTTTTTGCAGGCGTGCGGAGAAGTGTTCTAGTTAAGCCTACCTTATGATACTTCTGGTCTCAAAACTAGGTTATTATTTGTCCATAATGGCAGAGGTGCACAGGGCACACACAAGCCGATCTATCTTATAGGTACCCAATACATTATACAAAATATCGGAATTTTAGTTTTTTGAACAGACGCCTAGCACTTCGAGCTTATCTAAACCATTAAATGTTTTTCACTTTATTACAAAATCATTAAATTTAAAATCGATTATTAAATATTTGTCAGCCCTTGAGTAAGAAATCTATACAGTCACAGCATACCATAGCTATACCAGCAAATTATTTCCAACGGCTAAAC